AGAGAGAGAGAGAGAGAGAGAGAGAGAGAGAGAGAGAGAGAGAGAGAAATAAAGTGCCGATGTCGTTGCCGTTTGATGTATGTTTATTTATATTGAAGAAGGTATTTGTGGGTAACGCAATCACAATTATTGAGTTTCTTTTTGTCGTTTGTTTGAACAGAAAGAATATACACGACATAAAAAAAGAGGTTGGATTACTTTGATAAAATGATTTACAGCGTAAAACTGGAAAGTGGTTTTTTTTTGTTCTCAGTTGGGTTGTGTGTGTCTTATCGGCATTGATAAACTAACAAATATAATCGATTAAAATAAACTCGGTGGCGTCGTCATTGATGTCGTCTTCACAATCCCATTACTTGGGCAAACAAGTTATCGAAAATAAAAACTCATCGATAAAATGATTGATGTGAATCGAGTAGAGGACACACAGACAAAATCAAAAGCACACAATAAAAAAGAAATGAAATAAAAAAATAATCACGTACCCTTTGCCCATCCGGTCAACACGTTTCCGAGATAAAATACTTTGTATTCGGGATCGGGTGTGCTTATTTCGACGCTATACGATCGTCGCCAAATAAGACCCAATCCACGCGATATCGTTCGGAAGGCGCGAGCGCTCAAATCTTTTTCATCACAGAAATCTTCGATTGGTAATTTATCGTTGTGGCTGCTGGTGGTGGTGGTGTTGGTGTTGGTGTTATCGTTGGTCAACGTTGTAGTAGTTGTTTTACAAAAATCCGTACAATCGGTGCCATTGACTTGATCGGTTTGTTGTTCTGATTCCGATCGATTTTTGAAGCGTTCAATTTTCGATTTGGACGTTGCTACATTTGTGTGATAACGATTTTTAGATAAAATGCCCGTTTTAATATTTCCATTGTTGGCATCGTTTTTTTGATGTGACATGTGTTGATGCGTACTATACGCATTCCCAAATAGACGTGCTATCGATACACACCGCACAAATTTTGGTTTGTCTTTTGTAATGCAATTTGTAGATTGCTGCACAGACGAATCACTTCGTTTTCGTGTTGCGTTAAACATTTGTAAACTTAAGTCGTCTTTTCGGTTTTCCTTCGGTTGATTTTTACTTTATTGGTTGAATAATTTTGATCATAATTGTTGCATTATTCGTTGCTCTTGTTGATTTTCTCGTTCACTTTTCACGTTCTAATCCTGTAGTCTCTCGGACGAAATTTATTTATTCTTTTTTCTTGGAATATGTTTGCGTTCCGTCAACAAAATTGTTACTGTCCACGATTCGGCCGTACTTCAATTCAGCTCGTCAATTTTTATACTGTTTTTCCCCCTTTCGCCAAAAAAATATCTTCAAGAGAGAAAAAAAAATGAGCAGAAACAGAAGAAGAAAACATAAAAATCAAATCAGAAAATCCAAATCGAATAATAAATTAAACGAAGAAGAAAAAAAAAGCTGAATGTCAGTTGGTAGCGTGCGATATTAAGTGTTACAATGTCTCTCTGCTGAAATATGCATGAGTTTTTTGGAATTCAATGCACGATTTTTTGTTTCTCTTTGGCTTATAGTGTTTCTTTTACTTTATGTGTGTGTGTGTTCAATCACAATTGAATAATTTATTAAGGCTTCGAAGAATTTCGGCCGTGCGTAATTAAAATACATATCGTTCAGTGAACATTTATTTAGTACCCAATTGAAGTTCTATCGTTTACGAGGCGAAAATTAGAGAAATGAAAAGAGAAATGTCTTTCTTATAAAACGCGTCAAAATTTCAGCGCAAAAAAAATTATGTATGTCACATGGCTTGTGTGTTCTGGTATCACCATTGGTACGTGATTTAGATATATATTTTCGATAATTAATTGAAACAGAAGAAAAGCAACAAAACGAATAAAAAACGTTTCAGAAACTAGACTGTCTCATGTGGTAGGGGCATTGTTTCGGATATGACGACAATAACAACTATCCAATTTGTGCTTTGTCTCAATCACTTATTTATTAATAGGATTTCTTCGAAAATCGATTCTTGATTGAATACAAAATACACTTGGCCTATCGATTTCATTTTTTGTTGTGCCATCGCCACTTCTTATCAATTATCTTCTTGTTCAATAACAACCAAAGTCTTTATACAACAATACAAACAATTTGCCGAGAGTTAAAGTCGTTAAACAAAACGAAAACCGAAAAAAATGCCTGTGTTCACACATTAAACTTACTTCGACTGACACACAAGTGTCAGAGCGCACAATACACAATGCATTCGCAACACAATTTACAATCTGTGTGTGATTCATCGTTTTGCCAATGGCTACTTATTAAGGTAGTATGTGTGTGTGCATCCATGTAACACACTTTTATTATTATTGTCGAATATATCGGGCTGCAAAACAGAAGAATTCCAAATTTTCGAACGGACAACGATACATGTACATAAAAACAGGCTACCACAATGTGAATTAAATGTCATTGGTGCACATTCTGTCATACATTCACGCGAGAGAGACAGAGAGAGAGAAGAAAACCCATCAAAACAACAAATATATAAAAGTGATCGGTGTGTATCTCCTTTCTCTCTTCTTCGTACCCATCGTTTCGAATACAAATGTTGTGAAAGTGAACCATCATCAAAATATGTTGTTTTTTTTTTGGAGAAATTCATGCATAGTATGCTCTTCGATACACACGATTTTCGGTGGAATGACATGTAGAATATATTTAAATCAAAAATTCCAACACGACCAGCAACAGCAACGAAGACTGTGCGATGTATGCATGTGAATGTTTCTTCTTTCAAGAATTAGGCAATCGATTTGGCCACGGCTATAGGCAATCAAATATTATGGATGGATTTGTTGTCTCCAATGCGCACACGGTCAATGGAATAATCAAACAGAACATTAATTTAAAATTCAATTTCCATTCATAGAAGTTGTTGTTGCTATTGTCGTTGTGCCTTGCAACTAAACGACAAACACACAGAACATACACCAAAAAAAAAAATGAACCAAACACACAAACACACATAATATGTAGTTTTTATTTCTCTTTTCGTTGATTTAGACACACTTTACGTACGATTTTAATTGCAAAAAGTGAAAGGTCAGAAATATGAATGAATTTTTAAGTAGGTATACGGTTCTGAAATACCACACTCTATCATATATTAACGGTTAGACTAGAGACACTTGTTGAATGCGAATTCGAAAATAGCATTGAAAAAACCGTCTTTATTTCCTGAGAATCGTTGGATTTGTGCAAAGTCACACGACTTTTATCGAACAATTTTTGATGGGGGAGCGATGTTTGTACATTCGAAACGCAAATATGATAGATAGGGCAAAAATGGATCAAGTAATATGAAGGGGAAACAGAGAGAGAGAGAAGAAGAAAAAGTAGTTCTGCATTAAATATCTTTCTTTGGCATTTTGTGAGATTTCAACAGAATGCTAATCATAGATGTGTACACGTTGAGTAATCAAATTTATTGAATCACCAATCATATATCTATCTACGTATGCACTTAGCTATTCGAGTAATGCACATTTTTCGGTCTGTTTTTATTTCTTCTTCATTTCTTCACGCTGATCTGCCTTCAGTTGTGATCATTAAATCAAATGTTGTTGTGGTTTTTCATTTTTGCGAAATGTAATCATTTTCTTTTTTGGTGTGAGTGAGTGTTCGTGTTTGGCTTGCACTTTCTTCACTTCATATTTCGATAGCGAAAAATCACTTTAAAAATCACCACCGATTGCATCCATATTAAGTTTTTTTTTTGTTTTTACGTCGATCGTATTGATCGACAAGAGAGAAAAACACACATACACAATATATTTTTTCTCGTTTCTTTCTCTTTGGTTTTTTTTTACATTTTATAGGCTATAAGTTCGTTCTCTTTTTTGTTTGTATGTTTTTGTGCTTTCATTTCCTTCTCTTTCTCGTTCACACTCTCTCTTGAAATATGTATGCACGGGTTTGGTCGTTGTGTATGCACGAGTCAAATAGAGAAATTCTAAGGTAATGTTGAAATGGAGAGATGAAAAAAAAAAGTTGTTTCAAATGAAAATTAACCGAAGGAATTTACCATATACGATCACACACACTGTATACGATTTTTTTTTAGATTACGTTATGTGGTTTGTTTCAAATGTGGATTATTTGAATTTGTGAACAGACCGAATGATATATGAAGCGCGGAGGTGAGAGAAATAGGTAGATCACGAAAATGATTTTAAATTGAAGAATACATACACTGAATTCAATGACAATATTTTTTTTTGTCGTTGTTGTTTATTCGCTTCGCAAAATTTCCAATCAATACACTGAGTATATAAGTATGATTTTAAACAAATGAGTTTGTACAGCAGCAACAGCACAACAGTAAATAATACAAAAGAGGAGAGAGAAACAAAAAAAAATATTACTGAAATAATATTCAATATGTTATGCCTGGAGTGTGATCAAGGTACCACTGCTTTTTTTTTGCTCTTCTCGTATTCAATTAATTGCAGCAGTTATTTTGTCGTCGTGAAAATTTTTCGACGTTAGTACACACACAAAAAACAATAACAATTTAACACTCAAACTTTGAATATTGTTTCTTCTCGAACACTCTCGGTGTGTTGATTGCCGTTTGTTTGTTCGTCAAGGAATAATCCACACAGTGAATAACAATTAATTTCGAAGAAAATTTGAATGAAACAAATAAAAAATGATATACGAAATAACAAAACTAAGAGCGATGATGAGAGAGTTTCTAACTTCCTAATTGTTCTTACAATTTTTTTTTGTGTGTGATGTTTTTGTTATTACACGACCCGACGACGATGATGATGATGATAAACAACCACCATGTATTCAATTTAGTGAATACAACTAAACTATTTGAATGTAATTTCAAGCGAGCTTCATTTACCGTGTGCACTGTGCTACTTCTCTTTCTCTCCCTTGCTCCGTTGCTGTTTCACACTTTTTCTCTTCTTCTTTTTCTGTTAGAGAGACGGCCGTCTATAGAAAAAAATGTTCACATTTAAAATAAATGTAAAATGAAGTTCGAAAATGAATGAAACGAAACGAAAGACAGAGATGGTGGCAAAGAACCGTGATGAGGTAGAGAGAGGTAGAGTGAGTGAGTGACTAAGAGAACATCAATATCGAATGGGCGACGAAGCGAGATGGAAAAGACAAATGAAATACATACATAAAAATTCCATTTTAAGTATGGCTATATGTCTTAATATATATGAGAAACCACATCACGTTCAAACATCGAATGAAAACGACCGAACAAGTGTGGCATATTACCTACGCAAACTGTGCTATTCACTTTATGCCTCTTTTTTTCCTCCTCTCGTTCGTATCGTTGCACACACAAACGATCACACATACATGTACACACACACGTTCGCATTGAGAGACGAGACCGTGAAGAAATGAATCGACGTGTTCATACACCTCTCGCTTCCATTCAGGCCTAATACCGTGCCGTGATTGTAGTGTGTTGTATGCACATCTTGATCAAACAATCGAAGCAAGTGTTTACACGTAAAACATAACATAACCGTTAAAACGTAAACGTTAACATTAGTACAATACAATACTCAGACAATTCATGCATCCATAGGCACTGAGCCACACACACACACATACACCTCCATACATACAAACACAAGAGAAAGAGAGAATGGGACAAAAACAGACGAAGTTGAAGAGCTAGATCAAAAGAGAGTTTTACGTACAGATATTCAAAAATGATTATTATGACTTTGATTGTAGTCGTATATTTATAATATGAAACCATGCACATACCTTTACTCACTGTTAAACAACATATTCAAACGGGCCACAAGAGAAAAAAAAGAGGTGAATGAGAAAAAGACACACATTGTACTGACTGCCTGAAAACAACTTGTTGTTCTTTATTATTATTGCGCGAGCGGTGTATGTGTTGTTGTTATTTTTTTTTCTTCTTCTTGTTTTCTACTTCTTTTCTTTTCGATTCTTTTCTTCACTTCAAAAAAAAATTGACGTAGACTGTTAACTTCATTCCATGCAATTAATGTGTTCTTTAATGTGTTTTGATGTTCTAAATCCAGGAATGACATTACAAAAAAATGCACACGATGTGTGAGACACAGATCAAGTGAGAGGGAGAAATAAACGATACAACAACATGTCTATGACAAACGTTTTTTTCCCCTTGATTCTGGTTTCTTCTTCTTTTTCTTTAACTGCCTCAAAAGCTACATGATTATTTTGCGAATTAATTACCCTATTCATCAGAGCAAAGAATCGCGCATTTCAAAAGATTTCCTTTTCAATTTCAACAACAACAACAACAACTGCAAAAATTGCGCACATTTAATGAAAAATGAGAGATGAAAAAAAAAAAACGGCAAATAAATAATTATTCAATATATGCACGAGTGATGAAGAGAATGTCAGAATGAGAGAAAGAGAGGTAGAGAGAGAGAGAGAGCGAGAAAGATTCAAACCGAACATATTTTCGTAGAATCAAAGCGATCAAGTGGAACAGGTTGGTCGGTATCTCGCATAATCTCGAATCAAGACTGTACGAAACAAAAAGAACGAATATTTATTCTAATTGAAATCGAATGAATTGTGAATTGTGCATTTCTGTTCATTTTTTGTTATTGTTGTTGTTGCTGTATTTGACTCAATTCACCCGATATTAAGACAAACAATGCGTACGATTGATTCAAACACCTGTCCACATTGTCAGTGCACGCACACAACACTCAACCATAACCATACAACCGCGACCACCACGATCCATCATAGATACGCATTTTTGTGCATCGATATTTTGTGGCTACGCTCAATGCACACATACACACCCACTTGTGTGCTCACTCAATATGGGGGCACCACCACAAAAATTTACATCATTATTATTTCATGACTTAAAATCACTTGTCTATCATTATTATTATCATTTATTTCCGTCTCTTTTTCAAAATTGCATTGTGACAATTAACGGAAGTGATCGAAGAAAAAAAAAAACAACATCAATATAGCATGCGCATTTAATTTCGTGAGTCAAAGTGTGTACGGTTCAATTTTTTTGCAATTTTCAATTAAAACCTTTTTATTTTGATTTATCTACTCATTTGATTTATTACGTGTGTTGTCTAACCACTTTCATATAGGCAGAACAATAATTATGATTAATCAGTACACTCGCAAAATATTCCCGTTTCGATTTATTGCAAACTTATACACCAATGAACCCCAATACAAATATATCGATATTTCATGACCCAATAACTTCAGGTCCGTAATTATAAATTTCTGAAATATAATTTCAAATATGTATTACATTCAAATGGACATTTGATTTTATAGGCATTCAATGAATAACGTGTTTCTGTTTTATTTGAGCTGCAAATCACACGCACACCTGCGTAACACCGCACTTTTCGATTAATCACAATACATCTATGGCTTCTTTGACGGTTTTCGATCAAACCAATAACACAACGTACAATGACCTAGATTTTGGTTTATAAAATTGTCTTAACGAAATCTAGACGTTTTATTACACGATTTTTAATCCCGTTCATGTTAACGATGGAATTATTGTACGACCGGTACAGATCTGATAGCGATCAATGAAACACATGCATTGTCATTGCGGTCGAGATGCTGTCAGTGTGAATTGAACACGTTTTGGAGTGTGCAATGTAATTTACCATGTGATGAAGTCAACAAAATGTTTTCCGTTTTTTTTTTGGATTTTGTTTGTTTCAACTGCTGAAAGTGATTCCAGTTTTACTTTACCACTATTACCATAACCAGAAGTTTGAACCAGCCACTTAAATGAATAAAAAAAAAAACAAAGGACAAGAAGTTTATTTTAATACGATGAACTAATGAACGATGCAATGGACATTACATCACTGTGTGCCTCGTTTAATGATTGAAACGTGTGATGTCCCTTTATCGTTAATAACATCGAATTCACCGCCAAAACACAAATTCACAATATTTTGAATACTTATAATTTATTTTGCCCAAAAAATTGTTTACTAATCATCTTTCGGTCTAACTGAATACTCAAAACGGTAATATTTGAAAGTGTTATTGGTTTTTTATAAACCGTCTGTTAACAGTAATTACATGCACAAAAAAAACACAAATGTCATCACTTTTTTGCGGTATACCAACACCGAAAATCAAAGCAATAAGCAAAATATACTGCCATATCACATGGTTGTAACCGACAATACAATGAACTCCTGAAATGACATGTAAATAGCAATTGGGGACATTTCGATTATATTGTCTGGTATACTGTATAAAAAACACGCTTAAAAAATGCCTCGTACAAACCGTAATTTCGTAGCTCGAATTGTATCGATAGTCGATAATCGTCTTTCGCTTGAAAATTCATTAAAATATACAAAAATGCGGTAGCCTTCTGGCTTTATTCTTTTTTAAAGCTACAAACAAAGTTCTCATAAAAATCTGTAGGAAAAACGTCAGTTTTAAGGAAAATAATCCTCCCGAGTGGAAAAAAGAATAAAATATTTGTGAAATAACATAAGGAATCTGATAAGATTTGGTGTTAAGTTGACAGCTTTACTTGAAGCCAACATGAAAAAATTGTTCACACAACTTCTGTCGTCTTCATGTGCAAAAGATTTCAGTATTCTATTTGATCGGAACATTTGATGTGAATTCAAGAAGAAATTTACATAAACGCAATTGAAAAATCATGATTTTAGACCATCAAATTTACTTCTTATACGTTAATGTCAACAATTTTGTGATTCAAATGAAATACAAGTGAGACTAAATGCATGAAAAGTCTTGAATTAGGTAACCAAATCATAAATGGCCAACATTTTGAGTCCAAAGTGTTTGTCATTCGTGTTATTGAAGTAACATGTTTTCAATCGAATACCATTTTCAGTATGCTCCAAAGACATATTTATTTGTAGTCCGTGAGTCTGGATTGTTCGAAATCTACCAGTTTTGTAATAAGTTTTACTTCAAATGTTAAATCATTTTGTATGATTCCAGATCGTTTCTCATAATAGTACCGAGATCTCGAAAATCATCGACGATTAATTTAGTTAATGTGCTATTATAAAATTCAACATAAACCGTTGTCGACAAACAGCATTGTGGGTATTGCATAATTCGGTGGCAAACATAATCACATCAATGCAATGCGGTATTCGCTCCGATAACGATATTGTTATTGGTATATAACCCTTTAAGTAGTAATGTCGTAAATGAAAGTACGTAATTATCGTGTGTATTTTTATTGTATCGCATTCGTATCAAATGATAATCGTTACAATTTAGTTAATCGCTGATAATAAATGCTTTTATATTTTTGTTGGCATACATTGTTCATGCAAAAGACACACAGTAACATTTTTTTTTTGGAAATATTCACGGTCTTTTGCCGGTGCGAAGGTTTTGCGATTCAATTCCGGGTGCTGTTTTTTTTATGTAAAACGTTCCGAATCAATTTAATCACCCCAATAAATGAATTTATACCGTTTTTTGGTTAAAACTGTATCGCTTTTGTTATTGATTTATCATCTATTTGCTACTAATTTCGTTACTACTCTGAACTTATAGCAATGCAAAGATGTGCATGAAGTACATAATAGCATGCTGACAAAAAAAATTGACATAACATTTTCTAGGAAGTAATCAAGCGAAATACGGATAAAATTTTCCAAAATGATCACAATTACGGTTGGTGTTCGAAAAGAGCAAACCGGAAATTCCACAAAAACTAATATACCAAATAACTAGTAATAATGCCATGTTATTGTGAATTGTCCGCTGTTTTACTTATAACAAAGGTAACGAAACTATTATGTTGTTAAAATGAACCGAACTGCAAAAAGTGGTTAGCGCACTAATAATGTATCGATGACATTTTTATTTGGTCTTAAGGTACAGCTAGGGGATAACCATGAATTGCAGATCGAATAATTTATAATAATAAACGCTATTTCTCTCTATTTTTCACTAATTCTGCTAGTATTTCTACTAGTTTGTTCTAATACTGCTAGTTTTTGCTAATTTTTCTAGTACGTCAAAAATATTGCATACGTCAGATTGACTGCATGATCGGATAACCGAAATGTGTTTACGTAAATGTTTCAAGTTGACACTTTCAACGTGTATATTTGAAGCAGGCATGTAATCTATTTATATTTATTGAAGTTTCAGTCCTTTGAATATTGAAATTATTATCTACATTACAACATCAGTGCTATCAAATCAAGTTTCGGGCTGTATATATTTTATTAAAATAATTTTTAAGTGTTTTTTTCTCTTGATTACACTCCACTTGCTTTGTGCTTCCAAGCCTGCTTCATTCATTTTATATTTTTCAATTGAATTAAAATTATTTAAATTCAAAATTGATTGATAAAATACTAAAACAGAAAAATTGAATATCGTGTGAGTGAGAATTATTGTTTGTCAAGTTTTACGTTTACAGAGACGTATACGTTTTCAGTAAGAAATCTGTCATCAAATCTACATTTCCGATTGCAATTCGTAAATTGTAGTTAATACAGATGGAACGTGCTTGGTTAAGTGCCATTGAATATATTTTTATTTAAAAATGGGAAAAAGCGTATTTAACTACATATTTTGATACATTTTAGTTCAACACTATTCAATTCGTTTGTTTTGTGAATTTTATTTTAATTAATTATTGCAATAAATTCAAGAATAAATTCTTACTAAAGTATATACGTGTACAGTGCTAATTCTGCTATTTATTGCTAATTTCTCTATTTTCTTCATGTAAATTTCCCTATTTTTTTGCTAATGTGCTAATTCTAATTCGCATGGATATCCCCTAGAGGTACAGCTTTTTTTTCTTTGCGGTTACCTGTCTCAAGTTCGTGTTATCGCGGTTGATTGACATCAAAGCTATCATCATGCAAATTATCGAATTACACAAAGTCTACAGAAAGTTTGTAAGGGAAATCATTTTGGAAATCTTTTGGTCCTAGTCTCACCTGGTCTTATTTTTGGTTAGCCATTGTGGTAATTTTCAACAATCAATTCGATTTCTATCAATGTAAAATTACTCGGAAGCAAATGTTAATTTGAGTTTATTGCAACTGCATAGCAATTACATCATTCCTTTCCGTATTATCCGATTTTGATTGAAATCGGTTAGTTCACAAGATTCAGAGAACGAATAAAGTAATCTTGCATTTCTTTTTTCAATCTACTATGCAGAATCTACACGATATATTTGCGTGTGAAAATTTAATAATAATTCATTGAGTCTGGAAATATCGAAAATGTAGATCTTCTTAACAAGACGTAATAAAGCTTCCATATTATTAATTTCACAGGGAAAATCCACTATGTCATTAGAATCAATTGTTTGTTACTTACCTCAATTATAAAGTTCATACAATATTCAAATTGGTCAACTTTGTATTAGGTTTTAAAAGCAGACAATATATTTGGATTTTGTCATCTGGATATTTCAGCTCATCTGGATAACGTTAGGCGATGATACGAAATGAAAACAATAGAAGTGATTGATATAGTTATGGTAGTATTTATGATAGTACCATCTACTGTTTTCACTCCATATCATCGCCTAACGTTATCCAGATAAGCTGAAATATCCAGATGACAAAATCCAAATATATTGTCTGTTTAAAAGATATTCAACTGAAATAAAAAATTACAACATTGGAAACTGAGAAAACCAAAAGCAAATACGCCTTGGTCTTACGTAATGGAGATTGGGGTGGATGTGAATCATTCGTATATGTAATGTTAATAATTTAATTGGACTCAAGTTAAAATACATTCAAAACCAGTTTGGATCGTTGAATTAACTAAAAGTTATTGTTGTGATATTCTATAAAGATGCGCAGTTCTTCAAGTTAATTGAACTTTTTATTTATGGCCTTTTTGACATAGAAAGCAGCACAGATCACTTTCATTGCTAACACATTTTTCACAAACAAATCGTTTGCATCTATTAACACATCCGAAGACTAATTTATATAAATACCCCTCTATTTAGCATATTTCGATTTTATAACATTAATTCGTATCTTTCAAACGAAAAAAATTGAACAAAAATATTTATTTTAATAATATTTACTAAAAATTCACATTGCACGTACAATGTGTTATGTGACTTCGTTCTTTTATTATCACACAGATTAAAAAAACGTGAGAAACACCGAAGTAGAGGCAAGAACAATGGCGATAACTTTTACATTATGACTATGTCTGGCAAAAACCAAACCATTTGAATGCATATTTTTTATCAAACTCAAATAATATTATACGTATATCAATAAATTAAGACTGCTGAGAGTGTATCTTAATTCAATATGAAAGAGATTGAATATTGAAAATATTGTTTGATTATTTCCGGCATTACAATGCATCAAATTAAGTCGATGGAAATAATAATGAAGATTTAATTGAAATCGTTAAGAAAATGCTTGTAGTTATCGATGTTAATGTGATTTATTCGAATGAATAAAATTCGCACAGATTAAAAAAATATTTGTAATTTATTCAATCAAAATTGTTTATTTTCTTTTATATCAATGACATTGTCACTAGTTAAAAATGTGCACATTCCTTTCCCGTCATTGTGTAAGAGATTTGAATCAATTTTATTCAGTTATAGTCCAACAACTTCGCCAGCTTTACGATAATCAGCATTGGCAAATATTCCCGATTGATTTTTAGCTATTGCGCACACCACTGAGCCACGATCACTGTATCGATTCGTTTTATGGCCGATCAACTCCAGACCCGTGATTAATTGCTGAAAATTTAAAATATTCAAATGGAAATCCGTTCAAAATATTTAAAAACATCTCAAATTTGGTACCTGCGTATTTCCATATTCGTATTGTACTTCCATCGGTATAAGCTGATGATGTATTCGTGGTGCATCTACAGCTTCTTTGATGTTATGATCAAACCAAAACATGCCGGCAATAACCTAAAACATTTGTTGACAATTGACAATAATCTCCTCATACAAATGGAAAGCATTTATAATATATTTACCATTGCTATAGCAGTTGGAATTTTCACACCGCCCGCAGCGCCAGCGACTAATCGCACCTCGCCATTATCATCGGTTACAATAGTAGGACTCACCGAAGAAGTTGGACGCTTGCCGGGTGCAATAAAATTGCTTGGCGATGGCTGTAAGCCGTAGTAGTCTTTGAAATTCTTCACACCAAAATCACTCACTGCATTATTGAAAATGATTCCAGTTCGTTTGCCAGTTTTTCCAACGCCGAAACTGAACAAGAATCAATTTATGTTCATATATCAATTACGAATGACCGATAAAATGGAACAAAATTAGAAAAATTTATCTTACTAGTAATTAATCGATGATGTTACGGATATTGCATCTCCATTCGGTGCAATTATTGACATATGCGATGTCCCTTTATCATTAATAACTTGAAATTCACCACCATAATGCTTTGGATCATGCGACGTTCCATTGTCATTTATTTGCTCACGGATTTCATTGCCAAACTCTGTTGAGAGTATCTTTCGCGCAAGCTAAATGGTCGAAACATAATGATTTGAATAATTAGATGTATTGTTGGTCCGTTGGTTTATTGACAATTAAAAAAAAATCCAAAACTCACCTCCGGTGGTAGACCCGTATCATTGATTTTTGTGCGGTATCCGAACGCTTGAAGTTGTTGAATCGAAAGAGAAATTCAATCAGAAAATGTGTGGACGACATAAATGCATTCATTTAATATTTCGAAAGAATTCTTTTTACCATATTTAAAGGACTCAATAAAACGGTGATATGTTAGAATGCGTTCTTCTTCAGTTGCAATAGATTTCGATGTCATATTGTAGCCGCGTAGAACATTCAAAATAAATACAACTAGAGGCCCACCACCCGACGGTGGCACATGCACAACATTATTTTTTATAGGCACTGATAAGGACTCTTCCCACCGTGACCTGAAACAATGTTTAACGAATGTATTGAAACAAATGGTAACATCATCATAAATACTCAAATTATTTTCAAAACTCTTGTATGTTTACTTGTATGATTCCAAATCTTTTCTCGTAATAATACTGCCAAGGTCACGCAAATCGTCGACGATTAAGTTGGCCAATGTACCAGTGTAGAAATCATCGCCACCGTATTCGGCAATCATTTTGTAAGTGTCGCACAATTCCGGGTGAAATTTTACATGTTCGCCTTCTCGACGTGGAGTATTAGTACCATTCACAAAGAAAGTTTTTCTGTTGAAATGAGGAATAAACGATAATGATGAAGTCGTCAATAAAAGTGTGTATTTCTTACCTAAAATGATTGTCTGTGAAAAGTGCTGGTGCAATAAAATCGGCCATATGTTTTGTAATTTTGAATCCATCTTCGCAGACTTTGATGGCTGGTTTAATCAGCGATTTCCATGGCATAGAACCGAATTTCTCATGTAATTCCCAATATCCTCTTACTTCGCCAGGAACTCCAATACTCAATGGGCTGTGTTGGTATTCTTCGTATGTTTTGAACATATCTCCGGTTGCGGCTAGCGGTGCCGTTTCTTTGGAATTCAATGAATACGACTTTCTGTCTTTGTGTATGTAGAGGTTTATGACAGAACCACCGCCAATTCCCATACTTTGAGCGGTTGCAATGCCGTTACAGAACAATGTAGCAATGGCCGCATCAACGACATTTCCACCTTGATCGAATATGTCACTGGGTGAGCAAGAACACGACCAATTAAAATTGATGTCATGAAGATGAAACTTCACACTGTTACAAACCTGCCTATTTTACTGCATTGTTCCGAATCCGAGCACACGGCACCGTTTTTAAACTGATGCAATATTGAAGCGGACGGAGGCAATGGATACTCGGGATTTGGAATGAATTTCTTCGTTTCGCCTTCATCGCCAGTGGCGTGTTGCAAGTAATTTACAAATTTTTGTACATACAAATACGAAACCAACAACACAACTAGAAATATTACGATTAAAAAGAATTTATATGTCGGAGGTAATATTTTCCACCATTGAACGCATGATCTGAAACGAGAAAAATGTGAATAATTTTGATGCCTCTGGTGCAATGTCCAAACACAGTTTCTAATATTGCTTACATAGCATAACAAAATCTTAGACTTTTTTTAATATTTTGAATGGTTTGTTTGATTATGTCGCACGTGCTATGAGTGCCCTTCTTCAAGTCACTTGGTTTTTTATTGGATGAAACGCCATTCAAATGTTTTCTCAGTCTTAACATTTGGGACAATTGATTGAAAATGCCAATGAATTCGACTTAAATACTTAAGTATTCTAATTGAAATTTATTTACAAAACCATTTCAAAACTTTTTTTTCCAAATCAAAACATAGCTTGTTTACTATTTCAACGTGTAAGTATCTAATTTGACACATGTACAGATGGTGTGTGCGGTGTTTTTTCAACAATATTAATCTATTGATTATATAGTTGTGATCATGCGCACTTTCTATTTCATTTAATTTGGGGTAAAGGTGAATTTCAAAACAATGTTAACCGTTAATATGTTGCCACATTATTTGCTTCGACAGCTGAAATTCATTCATTGTCATTTAGTTTGAGAACAGTGTATATATTCTGATGAACAATTATTCAAATTCATTTTTCGGCTGAATTAATCGAATCATTCAGACGTTTGACAATCAAAGACAAACCGAGACACCATAAATTTTATTGTGTCTTTGACTTCGGGGTTTTTTCTTGTTTCTTATGAACAATCAATTTGAATTTTTAACCGATTTACTTTGTTGTTGTTTTTTTAGATAGAACTTTGAACGCCGTTGTCACGAATGCGGTCTTCACACATTTAATATATTAATTAATTCGTCATTTTTTCACACTATTTTTTTGATATAATTGAATCAATGCTATTTTTGTACAAAATTTATATCAAAATGCAATAATAATTATTGTTTAATTGATTGATAATTATTTTAAAAAAAAACATTTTCTTATCGCCTGAGAAATATTGCTATAGGGTGCTCTACAAAAAGACATTATTGAATCATTTTTATGTTGAAATGCGTTTCGCGTTGAAGAACTAAATGGTATTCAGTACCTTAATCGGTCGTTTCTCGCTCATTTTCGGGCCGAATTGCTCGCCTCAATGGTTTTTACTATAAAATATCGAGTAATTTTCCGCTCAGAGTTATAAAAACAATAAGCGTCTCGCAACTTTTCTATGTCACCTGATAAATTTCGTCTTCGTTTATGATTATTTTTTTTATATACTTATCGCTTATTAAGATGACACCTACTAAATATGTTCGCGTGAATGTAAAGTGATACTGACTTGTTTGATTGCTATTAACAAAAAAAACTACATGGTAATTCACGTTGTCTCGACTGATGATAATTAATGAGCTCACGGTAATCATTCGTAATGGATATAAATGAATGGATCACTTTAAATGAACTTAAGTATTATATACACACAACTGGAATATCGTTAATTTTAGATACCATGAAATTGAGTGATATGAAAACTATTTTCGCTAGATTTTAATTGATTTCTTTGCATGATCTACCTTCGATGTTTTTTGCGTCCAGTTTTCATAAGATCGGTTGGTAAAGGAGTTTCTGCCGGCGGATTCAAATCAATTTGTGCGGTTGCCATAATTGTGTTCACGTGCTTTGTATCGTCCACTCACTATATTTAACAGACAAAAGAAAAAGAAAAGACAAAAAAAAACAGGTTGTATGCACTCATTATCGACTCTCAATGTCTTCGACAAATTATCAAAAATGTATATTAATTTATAAGTGTCTGTATAGTGTATATATTCTATGTGCTGGTTTCTCAATGAAAATATTTTGGACATTAATATGAAAAAGTTTATTCATTTCCAAAAAATGTCCAATTCACCTATTGCATATGAATTAAACACACACTTTTTTCACTGAACAAATTTAACAAAGAAAAGGATGTGTAAATTGTTTCGATATGAAAACATATTTTAAAAAACCTTAAGGTTTAGATTTGTATGTTAGTCATTCTACATTTCAAATTAAGAACAAAATGACTTACAATTTCAATTAAAACTAAATGTAAAAAATGCTGAAAATTGAGAAAACACTTGAACTCTGTTTAAGAAGAAAGCACACTGTTAGCACATCGGTAATCATCCAAGAAAAAAATACGCAGTATGGGAGATGATAAAAACGTTGACTAAAGCGAGAATTTGCTTCATTTCACACAACAGACGTCACAAATTCTTGTTGGATATGAAGGAAGAGAAGGAGCAAATTGTTGCTTGTATCGTTCGAAGTATAGACATGTATTTGTGTGCGTAGCATTTAATGCAATTTTTTCATTTCATTTTGTTGTATTGTCTTCTTCTTCAATTTTAAGACAGACAAGGACTGTCGATGCAGTTACTGCAGCATCAACAATAAATAAAATATGTGTATGTGAGATATATGCGAAAGAAAAAAGTTCTTTGAAATGATCTTCCACTAATTAGCAATCTCAGAAAAAGACATTAATCTAAATATTAAGTCCAATTGTTAAAATTATTATTACTTAAGTGCATTTATTAAAATTGTATAATTCATGAATCACGCAGTTAGTCAAGCACATATTACTAAAACAATTAATTTCTTCTATATCAGTTATCTTTTATTTTCTTTTATATCAATTACATTGATAGCAAAATAAGTAATAGCAAAAAATATGCACATTTTTTGTTGGTATATGCAATTATTATGTAATACCGTTTGGTTATCAATTGTATTTCGTTATAGTCCAACAACTTCGCCAGCTTTACGGTAATCAGCATTACCAAATATTCCCGATTGATTTTTTACTATTGCGCAGACTACTGAGCCAAGTGCACTGTATCGATTCGTTTTATGGCCGATCAACTCCAGACCCGTGATTAGTTGCTGAAAATTTAAAATATTCAAGTGGAAATCCGTTCAAAATATTTAAAAACATCTCGAATTTGGTACCTGCGTATTTCCATATTCGTATTGTACTTCCATCGGTATAAGCTGATGATGTATTCGTGGTGCATCTACGGCTTCTTTGATATTTTGATCGAACCAAAGAGTTCTGGCAATAATCTACAAAATTGATGACAATTGGCGATTTTTTTTTTTTTAATAGAAATGAAAACGATTTACCATTGCCATCGCGGTTATAATTTTCACACCTCCCGCAGCGCCAGCAACTAATCGCACCTCGCCATTATCATCGGTTACAATAGTAGGACTCACTGAAGAAGTTGGACGCTTGCCGGGTGCAATAAAATTGCTTGGTGATGGTGGTAGGCCATAGTAATCTTTGAAATTCTTCACAGCAAAGTCACCCATCCCGTTATTAAAAATAATTCCGGTTCGTTTACCAGTTTGTTGAATGCCGAAACTAAGCAAAAACCAAATTATGTTTTAATTGCGGAATTAATTTGTTATAGTAGTAATAGTATCTCACAAGTAATTAATCGATGATGTCACGGATATTGCATCCCCATTCGGTGCAATTATTGACATATGCGATGTCCCTTTATCATTAATAACTTGAAATTCACCACCATAATGCTTTGGATCATGCGACGTTCCATTGTCATTTATTTGCTCACGGATTTCATTGCCAAACTCTGTTGAGAGTATCTTTCGCGCAAGCTAAATGGTCGAAACATAATGATTTGAATAATTAGATGTATTGTTGGTCCGTTGGTTTATCGACAATTAAAAAAAAATGTCCAAAACTCACCTCCGGTGGTAGACCCGTATCATTGATTTTTGTGCGGTATCCGAACGCTTGAAGTTGTTGAATCGAAAGAGAAATTCAATCAGAAAATGTGTGGACGACACAAATGCATTTATTTTATATTTCGAAAGAATTCTTCTTACCATATTTAAAGGACTCAATAAAACGGTGATATGTTAGAATGCGTTCCTCTTCAGTTTCAATAGATTTCGATGTCATATTGTAGCCGCGTAGAATATTCAAAATGAATAGAACTATAGGCCCACCAGCCGACGGTGGCACATGTACAACATTATTGTCTATATGCACTGATAATGATTCTTCCCACCGTAACCTGAAACAATGTTTAACGAATGTATTGAAACAAATGGTAAAAATAAACACTCAAATGATTTTCAAATCTCCCACGAATGATTAAATTCATTTTTTTTTAAATCAAGTACGATTTTGAGTATGCCTAGAGTTTATGAATTTGTCTGCTTACTTATATGATTCCAAATCTTTTTTCGTAATAATACTGCCAAGGTCACGCAAATCGTCGACGATTAAGTCGGCCAATATACCATTGTAGAAATCATCGCCACCGTTTTCTGCAATCATTTTGTAAGTGTTGCACAATTCCGGGTGAAATTTTACATGTTCGCCTTCTCGACGTGGAGTATTAGTACCATTCACAAAGAAAGTTTTTCTGTTGAAATGAATAATAAACGATAATGATGAAGTCGTCAATAAAAGTGTGTATTTCTTACCTAAAATGATTGTCTTTAAAAACTTCTGGTGTAATAGAAACGGCCATATGTTTTGAAACTTTGAATCCATCTTCGCAGACTTTGATGGCTGGTTTAATCAGCGATTTCCACGGCATAGAACCGAATTTTTTATGTAATTCCCAATATCCTTTCACTTCGCCAGGAACTCCAATACTCAATGGGCTGTATTGGTATTCTTCGTATGTTTTGAACATATCTCCGGTTGCGGCTAGCGGTGCTGTTTCTTTGGAATTTAATGAATACGACTTTCTGTCTTTGTGTATGTAGAGGTTTATGACAGAACCACCGCCGATTCCCATACTCTGAGCGGTTGCAATGCCGTTACAGAACAATGTAGCAATGGCCGCATCAATGACATTTCCACCTTGATCCAATATGTCACTGGGTGGGCAAGAACACGACCAATTAAAATTGATGTCATGAAGATGAAACTTCACATTGTTACAAACCTGCCTATTTTACTGCATTGTTCCGAATCCGAGCACACGGCACCGTTTTTAAACTGATGCAATATTGAAGCGGATGGAGGCAATGGATACTCGGGATTTGGAATGAATTTTTTCGTTTCGCCTTCATCGTCAGTGGCGTGTTGCAAGTAATTTACAAATTTTTGTACATACAAATACGAAACCAACAACACAACTAGAAATATTACGATTAAAAAGAATTTATATGTCGGAGGTAATATTTTCCACCATTGAACGCATGATCTGAAATGAGAAAAATGACAAAAATACCGTTTTTCGATTTGTTTACAAGTTGACATAGAATTCGTTCACCTCGTCTATCATTCAGTTTACATTCATCGACTTTAAACTTGAATTTCATCTTTGTTTATAAATTTGAACACGTCATATGTGATAATGTTCGTGCTCTCATATTAGGCAGGTTGACGATGAATTATTCAAATTAATTTCACGCTACATTAACGTTCTCTTGATTAATCATTTAGACGTTTGGCAATCAAAGACCCGAAAATTCATGGAAACATACGAAATTTTATCGTGCTTTTGACTTCGGTTTTGTTTTCATTTTGAACATTCAATTTGAATATTTAACCTATTTATTGGTGTTGTTTGTGTGTGTGTATCTTTTTTTTAAGTAGAACTTTGAACGACGTTATCACGAATGCTGTGCTTTTCATATATAATTAATATATTCGCCAATTTTTTACGCTATTTTCTTTGTTATCAGAGAATCAATGCTATTTTTTCGTCCGAATTAATAACAAAATGCAACAATGTTTGTTTAGCAACACCGTTTTTATCTCTTGGGAATTATTACGACAGGGTGGTCTTGAAAATGACATCATACAATAATTTTTCTGTCGTTATGAATTATATTAAGGCAATTGCTGATCAGTCAATAGAGTCTGAAGGACGACTCCACACAAATCGATTAAGCCCATAATCATAGAGAAATCGCTGTTCACGCGAACATTTTCATTGAAACATGAAAATTTCCACTAAATTCAATAGATATTACTATGGTATATTATCGCATCGTTTACAGTCTATAGAATGATGGGAACGGTTTTATCGACCAAACTTTACGTCGGGAAACGTTTGTGTGTCACCCATTTATGACTATTTTATATATATATATATATGACTGTTGAGACGACACCTACTAAATATGTTCGCGCGAATATAAAGTGATGCCATCGAAGCGACTTGTTTTATTGTTTGCTAACCAAAAACCACAAAAACAACATCGTAACTCGCATAGTCTCAACTGACGATAATTAATGGGCTCACGGTAATCATTCTTAATGGATATAAATGAATGGATCACTTCAAATAAACTTAAGCATTATATACATACAATTAGAATATCGTTAATTTTTAAATATGTGCTTTCGTACCATAAAATTGGAACGAAAACTATTTTCGCTAGATTTTAATTGATTTCTTTGTATAATCTACCTTCGATGTTTGATGCGTCTGCTTTTTGGTGGACTGGATGGTATTGGTACTGGACTATCTATAAACGAATCCGATTCAATTTCTACGGTTGCCATAATTGCGTTCACGTGCTTTGTATCGGCCACTCACTATATTTAAGAGACAAAAGGAAAACAAGAAAACTGATAGTATGCACTTTACTCGTTATCGACTCACAATGTCTTCTGCGAATGATCAAAATCATAAAAAAAACGTGATATCAATAGTTTTCATTCGATGTATATTTATCAGATTGCAATGATTTTTCGCTGTGAATGTATATTTGAGACTAGTGATGAAATTAAAATTAATAACTATTTCAAAACAATAGCCAGTTCACCTGTTGCAAATACATTGCACACACTCTTTGCGTTAAAAAAATGTAAATTGCTAGAACAATTCAATTGTTCTTACTTTGTTGAAAATATGCATGAAAAAACATGATTTCAAATAAAATATTACACGATGACGGAATCGTCCATACCCTTCGAATTGTAATCAATATCATATCGATAGATGAACGAAATTAAGTTTGAAAATTTAAAAAAAAAATCGCATTTCATTTCTGAGTGAATATAAATTAAATCAATTGTTTTAACTTTAATCGTAATGATTCAAATTTTATCACCTTTTTGACCTTACAAATTGTACAAAAGATAGAACAACATACGTACGTCCAATTAAATAAAACGTTTAAAATGACTTACATTTTTGGCCAAAATTATATAAGATTAAGATTTAATCAGAATCACTAAAAAACAAACCACGTATTTTGGCGCTAAGAAACAAACTGTTAACATATTGACGTGCCTTAACACACATACTTGAAACATCATCAGTAGATTCAAATATAGTGACATATATATGCAAAAAAAGAATATTTGAACCGCTGAAATTTTGTGCATGTACGGTTAGGTTAGCACATTTAAATATATATATACATTGACCAAAATGTGAAGGTGACTTTTTTTTCATACAACAAAACGGTTGGATGGGCCGGAAATTCTTAGCGAATAAGAAAACAGAGAGAAAAATGTATTTTATATCTATATCTACTTACAAAGCGCAAAGAAGAAATGAATCTGTTGTTGTTTTTTCCTTTGTAAAATTATTCAAACAAAATACAGGGTCTTTCAGTTGAAGTCTAACATTCATGCCGGGGCATATAATATATAAAAAATATAAATTGGTTTTTTCCCTATTGTTATTCGTATTGACCAATGAGAAGTATAAACAAAGATTTGTGTGCGTAACTAAGTGTGTTTTGTTCATTTTTATTTCGTTTGTATTTTCATCATCTATATAATCTTCTTCATTATTGCGTTATTGAGACGGCTACTGTTCAGCATCTCGAAAAAAAGTAGCAACAACAACCATAACCAGAGCAGCAGAGTGTATGTGTGTGTGCGCGAGAATTAATATTCGCATATGTTTGAAATAACAACGAAAAAAAGTCCAGAAATTAGCATTTCGATATCATCAAAACGAATATAACCGACGCATACACAACCGACCAATATTCGCCAAATACTTAGCTAATGTATGAAAAAGTCATCGATAAACGCTCCAGTCGCTGTACTGTACTTTAAATAAGTACCAAATCGAATCAAAGTACTTTGTGCGTATAATTTTTTACCTTGTTCGGAAAATGCATCCGTTCAACGGACGAAGTTGTTTTTTTAAAAAAAATGTTATGCATTTATTTCATTCGTGGCAATGCGAATACTTGTTCAATAATTTGCATAAATGCTGTCAATACAACTGTCGTTGTAGTGGTAAATGAATCAAAACAAACCAGTTGACGTTTTGACGTTGACATTTTACGTAGACTCGTATATGAGACTATGTGTAGCATGTGTCAGTGAATGATGTGTATTGCGATTGATAAAGGGAAAAAACAAGACAATACGAAGATATAACAGCACCGTATTAATGTGATTAAACTCAGGATGATTGAAATTTCAAATAATTAAAACTCTAGTTTTTCTTCCAAAATTATATTCCTAAATTTTTCTTTTGTAATTGAACGTTCTCGAAAAATCGACATTGATGATGTGGCCCGATTTATCGTGTTTTAATTTATACAAATGCTGTAGAATAGTTTTATTTATATTTGCAATATTTAATACTCTAAAACCAAATTATTGCCTACGAAAATATGCGCGTGTCGATGTGATTAAATTAAGGTATCATTTTTTTTTTGATCCTTTCATTTTGCTCGAAAGCTGACTTTTTAACGGACAATTACAGGGAAGAAGTACGCGAAATGTTCCAGCATGCATATGATGGATATTTAAATCATGCGGCCGACTATGATGAATTACGACCACTAACGTAACTATTCAAATATTACGATTGAAATTTAAATATTTTATAATTTTTATTGTTCTCTCTTTTTCTATCAAAAAAAGATGCGACGGCCAAAATACGTGGGGCAGCTATTCACTTACTTTAATCGATTCATTGGATACATTGGCTGTGATGGGAAATTTTTCCGAATTTCGGCGTGTCGTCGATATTTTAATACAAAAGTCCAATTTCGATAGTGATATAAATGTGTCGGTGTTTGAGACAAATATTCGTATTGTAGGCGGTTTATTGGGTGCACATTTGATGCAACATCGTTCAGGTGCTGAACTTGAACCGGGATGGCCGTGTAATGGACCATTATTACGCATGGCAGAAGATGTGGTATGTTCAAATCATTTAAATCGACCACATTTGCGCATCAATTGAAAATTTATTCGTATTGTCACATACTGAATTAGGCGAAACGTTTGCTACCTGCGTTCGATACGAAAACGGGCATGCCGTATGGTACAGTGAATTTAAAATATGGCGTACCAATCAATGAGACCAGGTGAAGCATAACCAAATTAATTTAAGTCGCGCAACGTACTCATATATATGTATGTTCTTTTTTAAATTTCATAGTGTTACTTGTACGGCTGGTGTTGGGACGTTTATCGTTGAATTTGGTGCATTGTCTCGATTGACGGGTGATCCCATTTACGAAGAAGTCGCAATGAATGCCATTTATTCACTTACCAAATACATATCAAGTATTGGACTATACGGAAATCATATTGTAATTATCTACTATGCCATTGTATTATTAACCTAAATTCATATCCAATTTTTTCATTCTATAGGATGTACAAACCGGACGATGGACGGGCAAGTTTTTTTTTTCTTCTTATTTTGAACGTTTATTTCTTTTTTGGCCATGGAATTGTATGTAATTTTTGTATGTAATTTTTGTATGTAATTTTGGTATTTATCTCTATTAAAGGCGTTGACAGTGGCATCGGTGCTGGAGTTGATTCATTCTATGAATATCTAGTAAAAGGTGCTATTATGTTAAATCGACCCGAATTGATGGACATTTTTAAGGAGGCAAAAACGGCAATCGATAAATATCTTAGTAAAAATGATTGGCACATTTGGGCGAGCATGACCAAAGGTGTAGTGACAATACCTGTTTTTCAATCGCTTGACGCATATTGGCCGGGCGTTCTCAGTATGATTGGTGATATTCCAAATGCCATGAAATCCATTTACAATTATCACACGGTGTGGAAACAATACGGATTTCTTCCTGAATTTTATAATAGTAAGAGACAAACTACGGACATAAAAGTCAATTGATTTATTTCAAAACAAATTTTGTTTCATTACAGTACCGAATAGCGAGGCTGGTGCTAATAGAGAAGGATATCCACTGAGACCTGGTAAGTACTACGTTCCACATCTTTTTTCGAATGGCACATTTATTTTACCAGTAGAATAAATTTGTATTTATCTTTTAACGACGGCGAAAAAAAAATATATTTATAGCAAAAATAATGTCATTTACTTTATTCGTTTAGAATTGATTGAATCGGTGATGTACTTGTATCGGGCAACGGGTGATTCGTATCTATTGGAAATTGGCGAAGATATGCTTCGAAGTATTCAACATAGTGCAAAAACATCTTGCGGTTTTGCAACGGTATTTATCTGTTTAAATCGCTCTAAGTCTGTTTTTTAAAATTTATTTTTATTAAACGGGATGTTACTAAAAGTGTCACTCTTTCTAGATAAAAAATGTGCGAGATCATCGAAAAGAGAATCGAATGGAATCATTTTTCTTAGCTGAAACAACAAAGTACTTATATCTTCTGTTTGATCCTGATAATTTTCTAAACAACGATGGCAGCAGTGGAACAGTCGTTCAAGTATTGAATGGTGAATGTGTCATCGATGCAGGCGGTTATATATTCAATACAGAAGCACATCCAATTGATCCGGCTGCGTTAAGATGTTGCCATGAAACTCCATACAAAGAGATTATTTCGGAAGATTTTACGTCATCCCATTACTTGGGTGAAGTGTTTCAATTGAAAATCGATGCAGAATCTGAGCCAAGTGTTTCAAATGTTATGGTAAATGACGATGTACGTTTTCTGTTTTTTTATTTTCATTAAATAAAATAATTATAAATCTTGTCTTTGTTATAGGAATTAAATTTGAAAAGGGTGGTCGAATGGTTGAATAATGACGATGATAAAAGTGAACTGTTGAAATTTATCGATGAAGCGATTTCAAGTAAAAAATCCAATAAAATCAATCCATTGCTGTCAAAACCGACAAATACAAATGGAACGAGAAATCCAAACAATATTAATGCATCATACGAGGAGCTTATGTTGTTCGATGAAATTTTAACGGCCGAAATTAATCGAAATGTCACAAAAGATAAAAATCAGACTAAAAATAAAATAGTAATGAGAGATAATCAATCAGCGAATTGGAAAAGTGAACAACAGGAAACCGTTAAAATATCCGATGAACGAGAAAGCGAAAAAATTATTAGACCCGCAGAGAATGAAACACCATCAAAACCATTTGATCCTCAACATTTAATCGAACGCATTCGAAAATCGAATAGTCGATCATCGGTGACGTCGAACTATGAATTGCTTACATGCAAATCACAGTCATTTTTGCAACGTTTGGCTGTGCTCGGTGAAATATTAACATAAATTATGAAGCATGTTTCTTATGACAATTCCATGAAATTTATAAAATGAAAATGAGAAAAAAATCGTTATTAATTTGTATTTTTTTTTTTGGTTTTATTTTCCTTTGTATTTATTTTATTTTCAATGCATAATCCATTACAATCGAGATGCATCTGCATACGTCCATTTTGTGTAGCAAGACTTGTTGATTACACAAGAGAAAAAATGTCTATTATTCAAACACTAAACTGTTAATGGGCAGCTGGCTTAATGATGGTGTTTGCGTGGCTTTCCTTCATTTGGATCTGGAACTTCGTAGCCATCTGGCAATGCGCTATGAATGCAATAAAAGCGAATATTGATTAATGAATCGTCCAACGTGTTCAATTATTGTGTAAGACAGTGTATAATACATACTTTACGACTGGGTTGTGGAAAAGACTGTGATTACCATCACCCCATGGGAATTCCTTTCGGCGAATACGCAAGTGTTCATAGGGAACAAATTCTGGACGAGGCTCTTCTGCATGTTCTACGTGACCCAAGTATGCGTTCAACATACCTAAAGCAATGGCTGGAAATCCAACGAAGTATGTTAAACGTCTCCACAAAACGACTTTTTCTGTAATGATAAAATAACCAAAACGAAAATTCAATAACAATTGATTGAAAACTGTTCATTTTATAAATCGGTAATCGAGAGGATAAAGGTTATGTTTTGCATTTTTTTATTTTAATCGAATGAGAAATAGCACAGTCAAAGTGAGCGAATTTTCTGATACTAATTGAAATAATGTTGTTTCTTCATTCAAATTTAAAATAAATTGTTGTATGAAAAAAAAAAACTCCGGATTAATGGGATAAAATCAACGAATATTTAATATCATGTTACATAATGCCATTTCGTTTATAGTTTTTTCCCCATTCCGAAACAAAATAAAGTTGATTTTTTATTGGGAAGTTACCTTCACTGCTTCCATGTTCAGCCGCCGAACGGCGAGCTGCAGTTGTTTGGATAAAACGGCGGATGGTATGATTCCAAAACGATGCCATTCTTATTTTGTGAAAAGAATTTCTTTTACTTTTGTCGCCAGAATTGATTTCAAGAAAAATATTATGTGAAAAATTACTACGACTGACACAATTTCGCTTTCGTTTTGACATATGACAGCTGGCAATTTAAATGGCGATCTCAAAGTTGACATACATTCATTTAGATGGCACTAGTTGTAAGTTTTGTCAACGCATTTATTTGCTTAAAAAAACCGTTTACATAACACATTTTTCACATTTGAATTATTAATTTATTGTAAGAGAATAATAAAATTGCATTATTGAAACAAGAACAATGAAAGATGTTCCTAATTTAAAGTAAACATAACAAAAACTGATGACAATTGTTATAAAAAGAAAGTCTCCAATTCAAAGAAAATAATATCTGTTTTTGTTACAAAATGAAAAAAACTTAATAAACAATTTATTTTTTTGTATATTTTCTCTTTTTGATATCTTTTGTATTTTTTATACATTTTTTACACTTTTTTATTTGTTTTTATACATTTTTTGCTTTTTATATTTTTTTAGTTTTTTTTTTGTTATATATTTTTATAAATAATATCTTAAGTTTATCTTTTATAATGAACGTGATGTATTGAAAATTATATAAAGGAATTCCTTATTTTTTATGAGAAAATCATAAAATTAACGATTTGATTGAATTAATAATCATTATTGATTAATTTGGTTCATTAAATTTTGCTAAAAAAAATGATGTGAATATTTTTGGAATTACTATTTCACATATATGTATGGAATAGATGTATGAAATGGCGTCAAATAAATAGTCGCCTATTTTGTGTTATATGTTGTATTATTGCTTTAATAAAGATACAGTGTACTCACTGCAACGATCTAGCTTACATTCGCCAAAGCATTGCAAGTCCAACCATGTACTATTAGCTATCAAGATATCTTCGCTAATTTGGCCTTTATCATATGATATTGTGACATTTACACGACCTTTTGCCAATTTCAAAATCAAGTCAAAGTCTTTTTCACTTATTTCCTCGGTTATCTCATGGTTGAACTGTCCGAATTTAGTCAATTTTTTTCCGGCCTCAAGTATTTTTTGTATTCCAGCAATTGTTAGTTGCGTCTCATGGACTCTGATTTCTTCGAGTTTCGGTAGACGATTCACGATATTGATAAGCACATCTTCTGGAATATTTTTTACCGATAAATGCTTCAAATACTTCAATTTTTTTATAAATTTCAGATCATCCACATTGGTCAGGCAAACGTCAAAGAGTTCAAGCTGTACACCATTTGTAAACATTTCACTCACTAATCGATCCAAAAAAATGTGCGACATAAAATATGTGTAATAAAATGTTAATTCTTTTAACTTTTTTAATTTGCCCAGGTGTACCAATTCGTCATGTCCTTCATATGTGCCACAAAATACCAACGTTTCCAGATTTCCTCCAAAATTGCCAACATATTGAAACAGGTCTGTTGTATCTGGTTCCAATAGAAGTACTAATCGTTCCAATTGTGGGTTATAAATCAAAAATTCACCAACATCATCGTCGGATATGTTCTCAGAAACAAATGATGCTTCAATTAATTTTGGATAATTTCTCATAAAATCAAAATTAAATTCGTACAGTAAACCAATTCTGCTCAACTGTAACTCATATTCAAAATTGCAAATGGATCCGCTGGCACATCCCAGATCTATAAGAGATGTAAATGGTGATCGTGTATTAAAATTGACATAGGATCCAATACTGAACAATGCTGTCAATGATTTTCCGCAATAGTCTGCAATTTTATCCATAATATCGTTTTGGCAATCATGCAAACTGAGGGCACGGACCGATGAACCAAAAATGCTCAGATAGTGCAGTGCATCGGTTTCATTCATATCATATGGTTTTATTTCTTCTTTTTGTATGTGAAGCCTTTGAAACTTTTTCGGATAGCCAACAATTGAGTTGTAACGAAAAGTTGAGCATACTTTAGAAGCGTTAAAAAAATCCCGTATAGTGGGTAATTTTTTGAAGATTTCTTGAATACAAAAGTCGTTGAGTGTATTCAAAATATTTTGCGGCGAGTCATGCGGGGGCACAAAATTCAATACGTACAGTAAATCTTTATTTGGTACGCCATATTTGTACGTTAAATTAATAATTCCAGGAATGTTTTCTGTGCGAAAGGTCAATTGGTCCAAGTAAAATAATTGAAGGAACTCTTTAACGATGTCAGGTGATGTATTTGGTAGTATCAATTCCGTGATACCACGTCGATTTTCGGCCAAATTTATGTAGAACATATAATAAAATAAATAACTCACATTCGACAAAATAAGTTTATGGGCCGGAATGCGTCTCCTCTCGGCACCACATACAAAGTATACATCGGCCATTTTTTTCTTTAAGTACATTTTTTCATGTGATCTCGCTGCCAAAGCATTTTGCTTAGGTCCCACACTGAATTTGTCACCTTCCATTCTTCGGTATTTCCTGGGTTTCATGTCTATTTCGATGATATAAATTTCACTGTTTGTCACAAAAATAAATGTTTGAAAAAAACTTCACAAAGAACAGGGTGTTTCTCTCTTGAATGCCAAAATTGAACTGATTTTTCAAATGTTGTACTTTCTTTTAAGTGAATTCTTTTAGCATAAATAGACCTGTAAAACAGTAATTACCTGTTCTTAGCTAGTTGTTTGTGTTGGTGACATCTATTACAGTTTCATCTGCATGATATTCAATGTTAGTTTTGTCAGCTCAATTACATCTCATCGTCATTGCTGTGCACCATATTATATATTACCTTTGTATTGGTGTGACTCATTTGAATATTCTCACAATATTATTGAACGCTGTCAAACCGTTGACGCCCCTTTGTTTTTTATACAAAAAAAAAACATGTAAACTGCATTCCATGTTTCAATTGAAATATTTTCACTTTCTGATTATCGATGTGAAAGGCGACAAAAGCTAAAATTATGCCATCCAGATTGTCAGTAATTAAAATTTTCCAGAATGAAAAAACACATAAAAAACATACAAACATGTTTTTCATAAAACACATGAATTAATGGCAATCCATCAAGTCGAATCAATATTCGATTCTCCTTCGTAGTTTAACTCTTAACCATTTCAATCTGAGAACAATTTTATGAAATTGAATTGAAAAAATAGATCAGCAGTAAGATAGAAAGGGTATTTCTCCAGCAATGCAAAAATGAAATAAAATACAGAATCTATCTTACCTCTTTTCAATGTGAAGCATTGTTTTGTTCTTTGAAAGTCAAATATATGTATATTGGTAACAAGGATGCAGAATCGTTTTCTTTAAAATATTTGCATTTTCTACCTGAAAGCAGTGCGACGTGCATCTTACTTGCTAATCCATAAGCTATATTTATCAACAACGTGAACTTTCATCGGTCTTTAAAAAAAAAAAACCTAATATAAACAATTGTTCGAAAGAAATGCAGAATAAAAATATGCAGAAGACAAAATACAATATTTTATTAAGCAATAATAATCCGTCTAGAACAATTGTTACTGCTCCTATACTGTAGCATGACCAAATACTTAGAATGCAAGATATTCTCTTTCTTTGCTCATAAAAGGCATTTGATGTTGTCCTCAATTTCTTTCTTTCTTTCTTTGTTTTGTACGTTCTGATCATTTTTGTGATACTTACTATGAGCAAATGACTTTTTTCGATGAAGGTATAATCCCTACATACATAAAATTATTCAAAATTTGGAAAAACAGAGTCAAAAATGCAAAAAATATGTTATCGAAACTATTTAACTATTAAACAAGAATTCAAATCATAATTTAAGTATTCATAATTCAGAGTGAGCTCAGAATTATTGAATTTTTAAAAATGATTCGATTCGATGTAGAAAATTAAAGTAATTTTGATGAAGAAAGCGAAAAATATTCAATGCCAATTGATTATTAATACCATTAATACTATTGATTTAATAATAAAAAAAATGAACTAATTAACCGAGGGCATGAATCCTCTACTAACTTTGCTTGAAAGATACGTTTTTACTGCGGATATCTTTTTGGTATAAATAATGTTCGATGTGTCGATCAGCTTTTCGATTCATGGAATATTCAATAAAATTATTGGGATTATACCCCGATATACAATTTTGGAAAAAGAGTTAATTATGAACTCACTGTTGTGTAATATTGAAAACGTAATTAAATATGAGCATATATATGAAGTTCAAATTCAAATTGATGATAAACGTAAAATATCATATTTTGAAATCGGTAAAATAATTTCTGAATCAATATTATTTTAATTGGGAAAATTGAAGCATTATGTATATAGCATGAAATATAATATTTCCTATGTTACCTGCTCTTACTGTTTTTTTTAACAAGAAAAGTCATTCAATTTTATTCCATTCAATAATAATTAGTTTTTATTAAATATGTTTTGATTTTGTTTTAATATTATTTTAATTACAACAAATGTGTTCGATTTCCTTGAGTCTTTTGCTGTGCAAAAAATCGTTGGTCGATCATCATGGATTTGGGGCTGGACTTCTTCAATTTTTTTCTTTTGAATCTCCATAGTAGCTTCGTTGCACATTCAATGAATGAAACGTATGTTTACAAAAAACCTTTGCCCTTAATATGAAATGCAGTGACTACCAAGACCATACAAAACGATTCATCATGGTCATACAAATTCCAAATCTCAATGCAAATTCAACCACAGTCAATTTATATGTTACTCATTTCAAAATTACTTATCAAATACTTCTTCTTACGTTGATCATTTAAACAGACAAAATTATTTATACACAGAATTAGGCATTCAACTACTGTTCAGAGTTTTGTGTCACTTTGATTTCTTCAAACCATTCCAAAGTGAAACCAAAAAACACTGACACATTCTTAAAACCCATTTTCAATGTAATTGTATTGTATTTGAATAGAAATTGTTAGATGTTAACCGAAAATAAGTGCTAAAACCTACAGCATTACTATAGTGACTGAGGGGAAAAAATATCAAAACTCCGTGAATTATATATAATTACAAGAACATTCATGAAATTTACATAAAAAATGGTCGAATTTTGCTTCCGTGATAATGGCCTTCGGTCGGAGTTATGTGCAAGATGAATTTATTCCGATGCATGGCAAATTTTTGATGGGACATTTCATGCACAATCTTCAACTATAAACATCTGTGCATGCCATGCACTAAGCATAATTATTCGTTCCATTCACTGAACATTTTTTTTTTCTCTTTCTTTTCAAAATGATGATGAATATTCAATGGATTGTATGGGCCTCTCAAGGAAAATGTAAACAAACTCAAGTGTTTGCAAATTCATCAAACCCATCGAACATATATATGTGTGTGTTTATATCTGCATTTCTCATAAATCGTACGCTACTCGAATCGCTTTTCAAGATTTTGCTTGAGAAAATGTATACTATGTATATTCCATGTACATTATAGCCCAACACAACGACCCAGTTCAGTGTTAGACCTTTAATTTATTCCATAATGACCTCTTTATATTTAGTATTCTCTTCGAGCAACAGCCAATTTTCATCATTCCATATTTATCATGGCTCCTTCAAATGGCTAAAATTTGACCTTGCTAAAAAAATGATTACAAAACATATACGCCCACGAAACATATACACACACAATGGCTTGATAAATCGGTTGGCGGTGTATATTCATCGTGGTTTTTGATATTGTTTCTCATTTAGTTGGGAATTTCGCGACGAAATTGGCCGAAATTTTGACTATGTACCCACTATCAAAAGAAAACTACAATGTAAAATCGACAAACAACATTTACAATGCGGTTGAAATTGTAAACCTTGAGAAAATATCGATGTAAACATCAAGCTGTTTTTGTTAAACTTTTCAGTCGAAAATCGGTTTGCATCGTCTTACATTATTTATACAATATTAACCCACAACTTTTGTATTCAATGTTTACCAAAGTTGGCTATTTTCAATTTATGAACTCATTCAACATTATTTAAGCCTTTAGTCAAATTTCATAAAGGTGGTGCCTAGATTCATTCGCCAAAACAACATTATATTGGAACCGAAAACTTGCACTAAATATCAATACATTTTAACTGTTAATTGTTTAGTACTTCGTCCAAGTTCGAAGATAATTTCGTATGTAGGCAACTCCCTTATTTCGTTGCAGGAGGCAAAATGTTCGGTAATCATATACAAAAATAAATCCGAGCCTTCAACAGGCTGTTATTTGTATGAAACGTATCATATGTTGTTGATATTTTCATTTTACTGGTGGCGCAAATATTTGCAACGAACATTTGATACAAAATGGATTTATGATGGGATTGACAGCAAAATATGGTAAACATGAATGTATCTTTTAATCTGATAACTTCCACTTACGAAATCGATGGTTGTTGTGCTTTCAAAAAGACAAAGTTTATTGTTTACATTGATCATAAGCATCAATAATTCATCTTTTCAATTCCAAGTTTCGTCTCGAAATCATTCGAACGAGTGAACGAAGTTTTTTTTATGTTGGAAGTGGTACTGCAAAACAAAAATTAGATTGTCTAAAACTAAATTATCACAATGATTTTAAACTAAGTTCTTTTCTCTGAAAAGTCTCTCTCTCTCTTTCTGTTCACATTGATTGGTTGAAGTGTTTGTTTCGCCTATGAACAGCTTTTTGAATCATTGTCAACTAGAGTAATGTGTGTGTGATAGAGAGATGTTTTTCTGTAAAATCTACAAATTCAAAATTCGAATTTTCTTTCTTTTGGGTAAAAATTCCATGTGATCACATATGAACTGTGAATTAAACTTATGTTTATATGATACAAAAATTTAAATTTCATACGATCAAATGCATCTTAAATGTTTTTAATTGTTCAGTTTATCCATATAATGATCCAATGAGAAAGGAGTGAAATTTCACCGCAAATATTGCGATCGCAAACAAAGAATTTCATATTTTCAACGATCAACATCATTTAAGTCGGCGTTTCACTTCATTTACATCTTTTTCATCTTGTAAAACTAACGGTGTAGACTGTAGAAACAATTATAAGCACATCATTTTCTTAAATATCAATGAATGACTAAATAAACAAGTGATTTGATAATCACATGATTTCCTTACTGATCATTACTTACTAATATTTCTTGCATATCTAAAGATGTTTTGATAATCTAAAAATATTTTTCTCTGCATCGGAGATGAGTTCATATGACCCATTCATATAAAAATGTGCAATTTTTTTTTGTACAAAATCAATTTAACCCACAATTATTTGGTTTTAGTATTTGTCGATTTTTATTTAAAAAAAAAAAAAAAAAAAAAATTGGCAAACTTTCAAAAGTAAAGAATTGGAGGAATTTTTTTTTTATTGAAACAATATTCAAATATTTTAATTTTACTTTTGAAGTATACGTTTTTAAGTTGCAGCGGAGTGCCGATTAATCTGCAGCCACTCAGAATGACTTTTTGTTTGTTTAAATGTTGCCTTTCTCAATTGAAAAAATCGAAAGTGATCAAAAGTGGCGTTGATTTTGTTTACTGAACCACTGAAAAACCGAAAAAAAATAAACGAATTGCATTGAAGAAAAAATGGATCTTATCAATACACATAAATATACATAGATAATCTAATTTTTTTATTGTTCAATGCAATTTATTCAATTAGATTGACTCAAATTCAATGTGTTAGTAACATCTACATCTAAATAGATAAATCTAAAATATTTGTGTTGTTGACGATGATGATGATGATGACGACGACGGTTTAAAGATCTGTATGTAGAACGGGCGGTCGTTCATTGAGACCATAAAGACTCATTGTATCGCTTTTTGGACTTTGCATTTCTAAGTGTCGGCTTTCATTTTGTGGACTTTTACTGCCATCGCTGACATATTTGTAGCTAAAATTGAGACTGCATGTGGTTTGCATTGGTCGATCACTGCCACCCGAAACGGCTAAATTATTATTACTGGCATTTGTTACAATAATACCGCCAGCAGCGCCGCCAGTTTTCGTTGTCGAGCAAAATTTCTCCGAGCTTCGTTTACCGAAACGTGGAAAGAAACTATTTTCCAATTGTAATTGGGTGTTAAAATCTTTGCCAGCCGTGCATGTGAACGCTTTCAAAAAGCTCTTCTTGAAATTATCACTCAAAAATGCATATAAAATTGGATTCATTGCACTATTCGAATAACCTAAACAACCGACTAAAACGAATAATGTGATTTGTAGTCGTGTATTACAAACGTGAGGTGGCGATGTGATCAGAGCTACTTGCGAAATCCAGTATGGTAACCAACATAGTATGTAAACGGTAATAACGGTAAGCACCAATTTGGTAACCTTGCGATGTGATCGTTTTTTCTCTTTGGATCGAGTTTTTGGGCCGACCGTTTGTAATTTACGCAATACCATCGAATAAAATAATAAAATCAAACTCAATGGAATTAAAAAACCAAGTATTAACGAGTATAAGGTGAACGTTGTACCAGAGCCGGCTTCATTATCTTGTGGCCATTCGATGTTGCATGTCATCTTTTTACTTTCTTTTTCAATTGTGGTCGCGTATAACATAACCGGTAGCATTATTACAGCGGATGTTGTCCATGCAATTGCTGCCACAATTTTTGCAACAAATGGTGACCGATAACGTGTCGATGACACCGGATGACATACAGCAATATATCGATCGGCTGACATTATAAACAAAAAAATCGACGATGTAAACTGTGTTATCGATGTTGAAACCATGTATGCTTTGCACATTGCCTTGCCAAATGTCCATTCGCCCAGATGCATTGTTATTATTAAAAATGGTATTCCAATCAAAAAACACTAAAAAGAAACAACAACGTTAAATCGAATGTATGAATCAATTGAAGCCAAGACATTATTTTATTAATATTAATTAAAATGGAAGTCGATTAAGCTTATTAACCATTCAACGGCTTTAAAGTGACCGTTTTTTTATTCGAAATAAATGCCATTCTGGAAAACATAAAAAGCATGATAAAAAAGTCTTTTAATATTTGCAAATGACTGTTTTTCATCCCTTTTGGTCTTGCATTACAGCTATTCTTGAGAGAATTGTTCCTATGCGGTAATCAAAATTGATTGACGCGAATTCATGAATGACGAGCGAGCACCCAAAACTCAAATTTGCAATTCAATGTATTTTAAAAACTTATTTCACAACTAATCACCGCTCCAAGTTTGAAATTTTTTGACATAGCCGCCCCATGTGTTCTTACCAAAATATACCGAAGGTGTTAACATCAATTTTTTTATAGGTAATGGAAAAATCCAAGGGGGTTCCGGCATTGACTATTAACTGTAAAAAATTGACATGGGGTTTTTGATCAAAATTGTTATCTGGGGAGAGATTTTCGTCGAAAACCACCCGAGAAAATCAAATGTAGTGTAAAAATTTGTTGCTCGGAAAAAAGGAGAGCAAAAAGGTCATTAGTTTTGAAATTGCTTGTACCGATCTCATAGTTTTTGTGGTGGGGAGGCGCTGTTGAAGACAAACATTGTCGAAAAATGTAGTTCTTATTGTCCGTTGAAGAGTTAATATTACTAATAAAATCGGTATATTATACTAAAGAACTTACCTCATCCGCGATAGCCAAATTTAAAATGTACATATTGGTGACGGTTTGCATTTTTGAAAAACGTAGCACCGCATAAATGACCAGTGTATTGCCAAATAGACCAATTATACAGACAAGTGCGTATAAAATCATCGATATTAAACTACCAACTGGCATTTGAATGGATGGGCATGATATGTATAATGTGAAATTGTTCATATAGCTATTCATAAGCATTTCAGCACATCTTGTGGTATTACCTAGGGTTAATCACATAGAAAAGAATAAAAAAAATAGAAATCAATCAATAAGTAATGAGAGTAATGGAAAAATAATCGAAATAATGTATAGTATGTTATTACATTCACTACTATCGATGAGATATGGTGGAAGTAGATGAGTGCTGATATTTGACTGCATGTCCATTGGATTATTGAACTTATATGACATCATCAATTTTGTAATTTGAGCCACTTCCGATGAGTTTGTCACCGAAACCATCGTATCGCCTTCTGTTTCACTATCACTCAATTTGTGTGCGTGTCTATTTATGAATGTTAAGCTGTGTCAATTCAGAACATGAGAATAACAAATGTTGGTATTTCAGTCACGGCAACCATTTCATTTGAGCTATCTTCATTATTTTTATTAGACACAATCTCAACCGTTTTGCTTTGACTTCCAATTTGTCTGCGCACCGTATGATTCTGAACTGAAAGGAGAGAGAGAGAGAGGATAAGAAAAAAAATAGAGATTGTGAGATGTTGGGCATAAAAAAAGACAGTAGTATTAGCTAAATTGATTAAATCCAATGACAACATTGTTCTAGTTTTATCATAGCAAAAGAGAAGAAAAAAATCAAATCAAAAATGCTGTTAAAATTTCCACAGGCGTAAACGATAAAATTATTCATGAAAGTGCCAGAGGAAATATTATCACGCAAAAGCAACATCATATAACATAAAAACAAAGAAACCGTGATTTTTCGAAATGTTTTTTTTAGACGCATATACATCTTTTCTCTACGGATTCATTGCTGCACATTATTATATGAAAATGTGTGAAATATGATAATTGGAAAACTTGCGTTTGTCTTTTGTAATCGTTGCATAATTTATGATCTCTGTTTGCCCCCAACTTTAATGCCGTAAATTCTCTTAACATATGCACACTTTTCTTGCAAAAAAAAGCAAGTTCATTACTTGTCAGCCTTTCATACTCATATGAGGAGGAAGACTGTTTTTGATGATGATGAAACACATTTTTTGTATGCAAATATTAGATTCTGTTAATGTTTTTCTAACATTTTTACAAGATTTTTGATAAAAAATTCTTATAACTTTTATTTTTCGTTTATAATAATGTTTGTGTGTGAAAAGTTTCATAACTTCTTCCAATCGAATGCAATATCATGAGTAGTTTTCTTCAAGTTTTATACACAAAAACTCTTCTAGATGATTTGGGTGTTTTTTCTTCTCTATGTTTATTCGAGAAAATGTGATAACCTAATGCATATTTCTTTTACCTCGAATTGGAATTGCAAACGAGCTACTATATGTTAATAACATGATGATATAAATGAACGATGAGCCGGAAAAATTTTACAAATTCAGCAACAAACTGTTGGCAAATACATTTACTTTAACATATGGCCAAACAAATTTCACAAGAAGTGGCCTTTTGCATTTTTATATACGAATGAAAGAGGAAAACAGAGAAAGAGAGAGAGAGAGAGATATCGAGGAACACAAAGAGAGATTTGCTTAATGTGGAAAATATGAAAAACAGGCGCATCGTAAATCCGCATCTATTTACAATGCGAAACAAGCATGGCACGGAAGAAAGCATACAACAGAATAACGCAAAAATGCCAAACATATAAATATTCATTGGCATGGCAATAACCCCATAAATCCGAATGTGGACGTCATCCTCTTGTATGTTGTGTTTGTAGCTTTGTAATTTATTTTTTGGTTTCATCTTAGTTTCGAGCTGATTTCCGTTGTTTACGATGAAAAAAGTAATGTTCACAATGTCGTTTTGTTCGTTTATTATTATTATTGCCTAGAGATGCCCATTTGTTGTTTTTTTTTGTTCATGCATTCACTCGTAAGTAGTCAATGTATTGTATGAAAAACCAAATCATTCACACAAGGATCTCAGTAAAAAAAAATCCAAATGATTTTTTGAAATGAAATGTACAGTACATGAACTGTGATTAAAACCAATCAGTCATTAAACTGCGGTTGGATGAATTTCCATTGACGTTCGATTAAATTACAGATAAAATGAATTTTTGTTTGTTTGGTTATCCACATCCACCAGTATTTAATATAATCCAGATCCCACCAAAATGACATGTAGTCGTATTGAAATATATAATCCATAAAAAAACGTTTTTTAATTTGAGAAAATTGTTAACGCCAACTTGCCATTCAGATTACTCTTTGTATGCCATTAATTTTATTTTATATTTAGGTACAAATTGCTCTCTTTTCATTCAGTCGTATTTCTAACGTAACGATGTCGCTGATTTAAGCAACAAAATTCATATATTAACATATATGCATCGATAATTGGCTTATAACAAAAAAAAACGTCACAATTAATTGTTCGATGGAACAATAATTTGCATCACATTAATAAAACAATTGCAATTTATTCATTATATCATGCATGATTTGTGGCTTATTTACACAAAAAACTGTATTCAAATTCGACACATATAAAATATAATTCCAAAAAATTATCACAAATAAAAATCAGACGAGTATATTGTCACATGGACTGGAACGCAGGTCAATTATGGATTTATTTTCGGTACAAACATATTGGAAATAATATCAAGATTTAAAAATGTCCATTTCCGTTCAACCGGCGATAGTATTTCATTTTATCATCATTTGCGATAATTTCTAGAAATGTTATATTGTGTGTGTTCAATTTGTGAGATATTACGCATGGAGGCATTTAATGAGAATTTAACTGATTAAATGTACAAATCAACACAGTAAAATGGATGTAATTACTACCAGTTCAATGGTATAATTTTTGAACTGAATCTGGCGCCTCTTCCTCTTTTTCTTTTTTGTTTAAATCACATTGTCACAAATATTGTCGATTTTCATCGATTAATGGGACAGAACAAGTGTTTTGTTGTCGATAGAAAGACAATATTAAATCACAAGAGACGCATTAAAATTATTATCCAAAAGTAATTTGCATAAAAACAAGTTTGTTTTCGAAATGTCTCTCGTAGTCAACACATAATTTTGCTTGTATGTACAATGTACATCTAATTAATGTCATTCTATGTAATTGAAGTCATATTTCTGTGTAAAAATCCATTTCAAAAATATTATTTTACTAAATCATCGACAGTTGTCCATTTATCTTTGTCGAAAATTGAATGCATACCAACGAATTATTAAATGATGCTCGAGTTATCGATGATAAAATTAATGGGACGAAATAATTTCCAAGAAAATCTCAAAATAATGCATAATTGAAAATAAATGAGAGGGACAATTAGACGATTAATATGCAACCAGAAAGCTGAATGTATAAAGATGCAAACGATGCTTTATACATTTTCGAAAATGGTTTGCGTTTGAAAAATGAATACAAAGATGCCAACAATTGATGTTTTGAAGTGATAACGTATATTTTGTGCACAATTTTTGCGAGTGAATTTGCGTTGTTGCTGCTTGAGCAAAGATCTTCGAAAAAATAAAAATCGAAATACGTGGATAGAGTTCACGTACTCGATGTTTAGTGTTCATTTATTGTTCGCACTTGTTCGTGTTCGAAACCCCGCACTTGTTCGTGTTCGAAACCCTCAAAATCCAAATCACAGTCGGATGGTTTGGGGATATGTGATTGCATTTTATATTGTTATTGTAAAAGCGATGCATGCTCTGTCGATGAAGTGAAGAAACAAAAGCAAAAAAAAACCCTTGTCGCTCATTCGGAGTGAATTAAATCGAATGAAAATAATGGCGACTATCTAATGAAACGACTTGTACTCAATGGCTGTGTATATTATGTGATTTACCAATGACAATTGTCATTGACAGTATCAACAAATTTAAACACTAAAACCATGTGCGAAATTCACACACGGATAGAGAGAGAGAGACAGACACAACCACCACCCAAACACATGACGATTGCAATTTGTAATTGAAGCAGACATTATTGCGTTTGGTCGATACTTTATAGTGTATATCATTGGTAGCATGTTTACAAATTGAGTGTGCATTTAAGTAGATGGTGTCGTCTTGCATTTAATTCGTTTCGATTGATGGTTGTTAAAGTCTAAATTTGATCAAATCGATTCCATTAAGCTAACGACTATTTCATCTTTGTCTCTACTTTTCTTTCTCTCTCTCTCTCTCTCTCTCTCTCTCTCTCTCTCTCTCTCTTTGTGGTCAGAATTTGATCAAAAACGAATCGCAATAATTGAGCGATGCAAAGAAACAGACAAATGGAAATGGCATTGCTGCTGTGAATAGAACTACGAAGCAATGAATCCAATTTTAAGTGATAATAAATTCAATTTCTTATCATTGTAAGAGCAACTCGCAAACAAAACATATATATGCGCACAGTGCACACGTAATTTGTGCAATAACAAAATTGTTTTCTTTTTTTGTTGAATTTTAAAAGCATCTCGTTAAACTGACACACATTTCCCCGGTGATTGTGATAGTTTGCTTGTTTGATAAATAGTTTAGCGGAAGTTTACATTTTCTCCTTCTATTTCTCATCCGTTCATCCACGCTTGCACTTTAACTTTGACTTCTCGCGATGCAATGTGGAAAAAAAATAAGACTAAGCAACACCAGCCGGGCTTTGTTCACTATCGTCTCTAGACGATCTATTGGGTGTGAATTTGATGAAAATCGTTCCGTTCTATGGTCTAAAATTCAAACTTACCAAAAAGTCGTCGATCGAAATGAATCGTCCGGCTGGCGAGATTCATCCCAAAATTTAAATTACCATTCAACAAAGTTGAAGAAAACGAAACGTATGCACCATCCACTTACAATATTTGAACAATAACACTGTTAACGTGAGAGAAACATGGATTGTTTGTTTTTGTTCGTTGTCCTTGCTGCTCGGGAAAATTGAATTTTCTGATTAGAATGTGTTTGCACAAACACACATCGCCTGTGTGCACGCAATTAACGCATTTGCACATCAAAAACAACAAAAAGATAAGATGAAGAGAACGACCAAAGAGATTTGACGTGAATGACATCGAGAAAGAAAGAACAAACTAAAAGCATTGAAAAATAGAAAATGTTCCGTTTTTTGGGTAATTGTGTCACCAATTATCATTATCTTCTGGCCATTGTTCCATTATTGCATTGCAGTTGCCCCAGGTCGTCTACTTTGGGAATGCGCGCATCGATTGCTTACATTTTACTACCACCCATGCTATATCTTGAAACATATGGTACCATGCAATCGCTCTAGAGCACATACACACATACAACACAAGGAAACAATAACACAAGACGGTACAAAACATTTACGCTTCATATATAAATATTCTAAATTCTCTACGGTTCGAAGTATATATATATATGCAATATACATGGCGTAACAAGAAGAATGCAAGAAATTGTGTGCATCCTCAAAATAGTGCTACTGAGAACAACACTACCGAACACCAATGGATGGATAGAGTTGGAAAAACTATTTTTTCAACTTATGAAAAACATACAGATAAAAAACACAAAGAAGTGAGGGAGTTCGTGCGGGCGAGAGAGAAAACAAACGATATGAACAGAATGCAATCTGCCACTAGGATAAAATTAATTGCGTGCATTCTGACACATACTAACCAAACCCAAAACGACACAAGAAAAGTTCATTGTTCAATGCTCATTCATGGTAAACTTATTGCATTTGATTGCGTATACCAAATACAAGTCTTTCTATTTCTTCTTGGACCAGATATGTTTGCCTATTTTATTAAAAATCACTCTCTCTCTCTCTTCTTAAAAAATTCGTACCATATTGTTTTCCATCTCATTATAAACTCAATTCCAACGTACTAATTTGGTACACAAGCAACAACAACGAAAAATTTCACCGCACAATTATTCAAATTGCATGTAAATTTTGCGATTCAATAGACCGCACATGTGAAAATAATTAATCATAATTATCACGTTTAAAGCAAACCATATTTGTGGAAGTTTGTTTTTCTTCGTTTCTCTCCCATTACATTTTTCTCTATCTTTTTTATCTTCATCAAAGTAGAGCCGTACATATTTTGATGGCAACCACCAACACAATTTTCCATAAAATGAACGATGACAAATTGCCGTTGGAAAGAAAATGATAGCCTTCGTTTATTAAGCTGCAATTTATACTCATCTTCAGCATAGCAATTGTGCCAATTTAGCATGATTTTGACAAAACTTTCTCTCGCCGAACGAGCGAAAATCTTTTCTAACCTTTTTCGAATGAAGATGATATTAAGTGCAAATAATGTGAAAAGTAAAAGTTTGTTTTATGGCACATCAGCAAATATCAACTGAAAGTCAAGTGCGGGTGGTTCGTCTAATTTTCGCAATTTTCCACCCAATCACGGTTAGATTGGTTAGCTATTCATCTATACAACTGGCCAAAGCGTTTGACAATCAGGTGCGCGCACAGGTAACTGTGCGTTCCGTTTGTTCCACCATCCGAATCGGTTTGTGAAACAAAATCGAACACGAACACTTTTGCCAACAAATTGGCAAAATAACATAAGAAAAACATACAACGCATCGAATATTCGATAGACTTTTTCGTGTCTCAGTGGAATTTTATGTTCTCAAGAGATCTTTTCCAATATATGCAATTAGTAGCGACCAGCATTTTTTTTTATTAGAAGTTTCTCATTTTCACATTTATAATGAATATGTATATTGAATCGGCGTTGTAGGTATTTTCAATTCAACGTGACGGTTTATCTTTGGAAGAAGAGATGAAAAAATGGTAATTCAACGGGAAAAAAAAGTAAAAGATTTTGAATACATTTGGGGTTGTATTCCATTCAGGTGAGTTTGAGCCGTTGAACTTATAAGTTTGTTGGTGGTCTATGTGTAAGTCATTGGTGACAGGTTTCTTTTTCGTTTTCGAGCGTGAACAAACACGGTCAAATTGATGTCATTTCATGGAATTTTCTTCATTTAATGATATCTCAAATAAAATGTGATGTAATTCCTGCTCCATCTCGTTTTCTTCAACCGACCGCCGCTTTGAAAATCACAAAGTGTGTGTATTGTCACACCATTTCCTTGGCTTCGGCAACTGAAAATGAATTGATAACCATTTACATTGTAATTTCATGCTGGTCGCGTCAAACTCAACACCCTACGTTTCTCAAGCGTTATGAAATAGGCTAATGTAATCTCGAGAAAGATAGAATTAGAATAGGAAATGTTAAATGCGCTTGAATGAGTAAATAATGCTCAATTTCAATAAATCCATTCCGTTGACATTTAAAGGAATCCCGCATTCAGTCGTGCAATGCACAATTGTCGCTTTTAATTCAGTCGACAATATAAAATATAAGCGTGCAAATATGCCAGAAGCCGTTCGACCCTTTTCACATTTTAATCGTTTTCGTTCTCTCGTTCGATTTCACATTGTCTATCTTTATGCGCCACGTGCATTGTATTTACGGTTATTTTTGGTCTTCGTTCATTTTTTTTCCCTTCAGTTATTGCAACAAAACCGAACTCTCTGGTTCATTGTTAAGACAGCGTATCAGACGCCGAATCAAAAGCATATCAAATTAATAATTATTGACAACATAAAACAATGTTTTTGATTGAAAAATGATGGTCGATATCGTCAACGACTTTTTTGTAAATTAATTTTGTTAAACATCTATCGATAATATGTCGAATAGATTTTCTCTCGTTTCTCGAACGAATAGAAGGGGGACTTTTTTTAATAAAAGCATGCTTTGATATATATTTATATGAATCTTCTCAGAAGAGCACTTTCTATTATCAAAACTGAGCATAAAGGAGCGGACGTTTTTAGCTCGCGGTTTTCTGATTCTGGGCATTGCTGACATTTCATAAGGGATTAGTGTGTTTCGGTACAGTCGAAGAAGACAAAGTACATCATAAATCGGTTCAATAATTATGTCCCAAAATCTAGTCTCTTGTGCGAATTTTGCGAAAACGTAAAAAAATATCTTACATATTAAAGTTCATTTTCCCATCATGGGTATGAGATCAAGAATAAAGTGAGTCGAAAAATAAAAAAAATCACATTTTTTCACTAGTCTAAAACCATCATCAAAATACGTAGGTTGCTCCATAATTTTTTTTAAAATGGTACTTATAGTGTTGCCCGATGTAAACCATTGTCATATTCGTAAAGTTTGATGTTTTGGTATGTATTCGTGCCCTGAACCTTTTGTCGTACGAACGCTATTTGTATTGTTTACAGTGACTGGTAAACTGCGACTCAACAAAAAAATGAATTTTACACGTGAAGATTTTCGTAAAATGATTTACTACGATTTTCGAAGTAAATTATCTCAACAACAGTGTTTCGATCGACTTCATTTGGCCTTTGGCAATGAAGCACCAACCCTTCAGACAATTTATAACTGGTACCGAGAATTCCGTTGCGGTCGTAGTTCGCTCAAAGACGAGTTTCATACAGGTCGTCCAAAATCGGCTGTTGTGCCACAAAACATCGATGCTGTCAGAAAACTGATTATGGAAGATCGTCATGTGACCTACCGTGAGATTGAGGCATCTTTGGGCATTTCATCCCACAGCATACATACAATTTTGCATGAACATTTAGCCGTAAAAAAGATTTGCTCTCGTTGGATCCCACATAAATTGACCGATGAACAAAAAATGGCTCGTGTGAGTTGGTGTAAAGAAATGCTCAAGAAATTCAATCGTGGTGCTTCAAAAGACGTTAATAAAATCGTCACTGGTGACGAATCGTGGATATATGCCTATGAGCCCGAAACGAAACAGCAGTCGACTGTATGGGTCTTCCAAAATGAAGATAACCCAACGAAAGTTGTTCGAGCAAGAAGCACTTCGAAGCGAATGGTCGCCTGTTTTTTCGGGAGAAGTGGTCATGTGGCAACCGTTCCACTAGAAAATCGTAAGACCGTCAATTCTGATTGGTATACCACCATTTGTTTTCCCGAAGTGTTTGGTGAAATAAGAAAAAACAACCACCGTCGCAAAATAATTCTTCATCACGATAATGCGAGCTCTCACACATCTTTTCAAACTACTCGATTTTTGACCGGTCAAAACATCGAACTGATGGGTCATCCACCGTACAGTCCTGACCTGGCACCCAATGACTTTTTTTTGTTCCCAAGCGTGAAGAAAAAACTACGTGGTCAACGATTTTCGACACCAGAAGAAGCAGTTGAAGCGTTCAAAACACACGTTTTGGAGATATCAGTTTCGGAGTGGCACGAATGCTATGACAAATGGTTTCATCGAATGCAAAAGTGTATCGATCATCTCGGGGAATATTTTGAAAAACAATAAAACCATTTTCGACAAAAAACAACTGTGTTATATATGTTTTTAAAAAAAATTATGGAGCAACCCTCGTATATAAATTCAATTTGAAAATCTTTCCAATGCCCAGTTATGTTCGTTCTCAACAAACCTAGCTCAAGAGCATCTACTTTACGAAAAGTCTCATCGATAGACATATCGTGTTTTGTAAAAAAAAAATTCGTATATTGAGGCTGGTGAGTATTTCGGGGAGAAATCTCTATGCATGTGTATGAGATAGCTTTTGTCAACACTTGAATTATATCTATTTTCCCTCTCATTGTGTTTCGGGATAAATCTGATGTCGAGTTGGATAGCGTTGAGTTAATATCTCGCGTGGTGTGTGTGTGTGGGTAAGTCGCATCGCATTTCATTTAAAATTGTGTTGACCGCGCAACAGTGAGACGATCGAGAGGAAATGGCAAAAGGCAGACAGCAGAGAATTAATGCTTCGACCCTAAACAAATTATGCAAAATCAATCTTGCATTTCGAACAAATTTGCCTCTTTATCGTACAGGCCTAGGCGTCGGTTCATTTTTATTTTATTGGCGTTGAAACATCCCAATGTTTTTGGTTTATAAAATATTTCATTGAACGAAGAGATAAGGTTTAATTTTATTGTTTGCTTAATATATTCGATAATTATACGACGAAATTTGTTAATGAGCAATCCCAGCACATTTACCAAATTAAACATTCAAGATTTTTTTTTATGTATTCTCCTTTTTATTTATGACCGCGAAAGTGAGCCGGTATCACACACACTTTAACATTTCAAAATCTCATTTTCTCAATCCCAGCATAGATGCATCGTTTTCGTTTTTCCCTTCGAGCAATCCGTTTGTTTGTTTGTTTGTTTGTTTTGTGCTTCGTAGCGTATCATCCATCTTCATTTCCTTATCTCATATAACTGCTCCCAGCCAAAAATCAAATAATCTCACTTCACATTTAAACAAAAAAATAAGAAGCAAAACGAATAATTCAGATTAGAATGAGTTCATTATCAATGCCATAAGTTATATGGCCACTAGCAATGCAATTAAGTGATGTCCTAACCGACGGCCGTTATTAATAAAGGTTGATTGTGCTCACAATTTTAATGATATTTTCAGACACTGAGTGAATGTGTTAATTGATTAGGTCTGCTCTGAAAAGACCTACTCACACGCATATTCAGATCCTCTCACTACATGAGAGGAAGAAAAAAAAAATTCCATATCATCACACATATCGTCATAATAGTTCAATCTAAACACAATCAGTATGGTGTACTAAGTAAACCACGAGAGTGAGCAGGTCGTTTTTTAATACAAATTTGAACGTTAGCGTACTTTTTTCGGACATTATTATCGTTAAAACATTGCCAATCGTCTGATAATTGTAAATGAACTAAATACATTTTACGCACCTATAATACTTGTTTGTGTCAGTTTTTGCTTCCCAGTTTTCTGTGACCTTAGTACGGTTCTGATATTTGACGGGATGTAAGTGATGCTAAATTTGAAATTTTTTCATTGCTTAAATGTGAATAATTAACGTTTACAGAAAATCAGTGTAAATTTTTACAATGGATTTGCTTTATAATCCTGATGCAATATATGTGCATGGACCACGACAACCACACAAACCATGTGAGTTTAAAATGTTGCACGGGGGCTTCAAAGTGCCTACCGTTTCACCATTAATTAACTGAATTTTTAAATTCATTTGCAGGTTTCTATGTGCCACAAAGATATTTATTGACATTCATGGGATTTATGGGACTTGTGATGGCGTATTGCATGCGATTATCGCTATCAGTGGCAATTACACAGATGGTTCCACCACCAATAGTCAACATGACCAATCTATTGACAAAAGATGGCCAAAGCGAAATTATTTGCCCATACACCGATGAAAATTATGTACACGAACACTTGGACGAACGAGAAATTTTCTATCAATTATACTCGGTAATGATCCGACAATATATTTGGATTTTGTCATCTGGATATTTCAGCTCATCTGGATGACGTTAGGCGATGATACGTAGTGAAAATAATAGTAGTGATTGTTATAGGTATAAAATTACTACCATAACGATAACGATCATTTCTATTGTTTTCACTCCGAATCATCGCCTAACGACATCCAGATAAGCTAAAATATCCAGATGACAAAATCCAAATATATTGTCTGGTAATGATGCTCGCAGAACATTAGAAAACAATAATATGCAATTGAAAATGGAATTCACTATTAAAAATAATACTAACAAATCAATCTGAGAGACTGTTGTGTGATTGTGTGTCTGTTGTATGATTTTATAGTGTTTTTGTGGTGATAAAAAAATGTGATTTTATGGTGATGGTATGCATCGTAATATGAGGTGCAGATAATCGTTGTTAATCCCAGAGTCTAGGCTAGGACTTTCTAATATGCTAATATCGAAATGTTTGCGTACGTGCATACACAATTTTGTGCATGATAATTTTACCGAAAAACATAGAATTGTTCACCAAATCATAGAATATTTACCAATATCGTGACACTACAAAATTATGTACTTGAGTGTTGTTTGTATTTTAAACTGATGATTCAAGTAAATAAAACTTAACTATTTATTTATTCAAAATATAAATGCCATTTAAATACTCAGTTAAGGTCTTTTAGTGTAAAACGTCAATTTGTAACATTGAATAATTTCAACACTTGATTCGTATTTGTGTTTATTTTCATGTTGATGTTGAATAGGGTGATAATGATGTGTACAATTGGTCACAAGAGCAGCAGGGAATTATTTTATCATCATTTTTTTGGGGCTATCTAACTACACAATTATTAGGTGGCATCTTATCACAACGCTATGGTGGTAAATATGTATTTGCAATGGGTATTTTATTTTCCGCATTTTGTTCACTGTTAACACCTTTCGTTGTGCGGTCCGGTAAGTTTTGACAATAGTATTAGAAAATTCAAAACAAAAAACAATTCAAGTTGTCATTTTCATTTCATCGATTGAATAGCCGAAGCGACCGGTTTGATTGTACTGCGGTTGTTTGGTGGTCTTGGTGAGGGAGTAATATATGCTGGTTTGACTGATTTGTTAGCCGCCTGGGTGCCGTTGAAAGAACGCACCACACTCGCTTCATTGGCCTACGGTGGATCGACGGTAATAAGTGCAAATCAACATTACGTTTTTTCTTCTTCTCTCACTTGCAAGACGTTTCAAACAAATATTCAAGTGAATATGCCTAATGAAAATGTTATGATCACATGATTCAATGCGTATGCCCATTTAATTGAACAATAAATGCTCGTATCACAACTATTTGGCAAACATAGCATGTGTTCGTGGGCATAGAGGTCGAAAACAATAATAATAATAATGACCATTGGTCATATTTCAATGGTATAATTTCCGAATAACTCGTACCCTTTTCCATAAATACGGCATTACATTGGAATCGTTTTTATGGAATTAAATCGGATATTACCGCACATTATCATCATCATTTTTCATAATTTTTTTTAACTTGTTTTTCGTATTGAAAAAATTTGTTTTTATTGCCGGTTTATGTACGTATTGATTATTTCGTTACTGCAAGGGCTGGCATTAAAAACAGATTGCTTAAATTATCAAAATATTGTTTTTTTTTTCTTCTTATATTTTTCGTATTTTCGGTTCTCTCTCTTAAATCTCAGGTTGGCACAATCGGAGGCACGTATCTCGCAGCAATGTTTATCCACCATTTCAAAAGCTGGCATGAAGTTTTCTACATTTTTGGTGTACTGACTATCGTTTGGTGTTTGTTTTTCGTAAGATTTTATTCATCAATTCGATGTTTGTTATTCATTGAAATGGGCGTGTGTGTGTGTGTAGGTTTGCGTTTGGCTTTTAAAAAATGGGCCAATTTTATTATCGATCAACGGTCGTTGAAAAAAGGAAAATAAAAGCACGAAAAATTGAAAAGAATTGGGGTCGGGGGGAGAGCAGCTTATTTGTGGCTTGCCAAATTCATTCATTCGATATGGCAATGGCTTTCAATAAATTGCACGTACGCGTCGCGTTATTTTATTGTAATGGCAGCAAGTCATGCACTCTTCGCTATATCGAAGCATAAACCATTTGTAATTTCTATTGTTCACTTCACATGGTTGGTTTTTTGCTTGCTCTCCCACCCACTCGGCTCATTCGCTCTTTCAGCTTAAAATATTTTGAGCACATAATAACTTTCCATTCCATGTTGTTGCAGTCACAATGGCAATGGTCATAAAAAAAATCGGCAAACGAATAACAGAAAAGAGAAAGCAACACCACCGTCAGCCATAGAATGCGAGTGAACCAAACAAAAAATTGGCCGACATCAGTAAAAATTTTATTGAAGTAAATGTTCATAATGGCCATATTAAGCATCACATGAAATCATCAAAACAGCTCAATAACGTTTGACATTTGCTTATATTTACTGGTTAATATCATGAATTTGCGTATTCAAATAAATATATCGCACAACAACATCCATTTAACATTAATACGCACACACTCGTACACAGCGCACTCAGTGTGCGTTTCCAAATAGATTTATATGAATTTTTTATATTTGGCAGTTGCATTATTCAATCGATACACAATATCACGCGCTCAATGCACGTTCATCATATCGACTACATACCATAAATTGCCACTCGAATCGATATACATCAACGCCATGAAAATCCTTATATCGGCTTTTCGTTTTAACAACCGTCACATGAACACACATACACACATCTGTCATACACTTTTATATTATACAATCTTGATTTTTGTACTTCTTCCCTTTCCACTCTAACTCTGAAGATTCTCTTGTGCTACAATGATCCCGACTGCCATCCATTTATAACCGACTATGAAAAAACTTATTTACTAGATGAACTGGGTCAGCAACAGCAAATCTCATCCGCTGATAAAAAACGAAAACAAACCAAACGAACGCCATGGCGACAAATCCTCACGAATGTGCCGTTTATTGCATTAATCTTGTGTCAAGTAAGTTGAGTATTGCGAAAGAAAACATCACAGCATCAGTTTCACGTAATACGATTGTTTTTTTTTTTTGTTGTTCGTGTATGTTATGATCTTCTCTGTGAGAAAGGCGATTGAAGAAGGGATGCAAGATGAAGATAGGAAATGAAAAAAAAGAGCGAATAAAAAATAAAGGGAAAAATGGAATAGAGTGCAAGCATCGCATGGTTTTTCTACTTTCGACTAATTTTTAACACATAATTCGCGGTGATACTCCATAGATCCATAAAATATATCATTTTATGTGCGCTACTTAAGTAACAATCGTGTTGTCTCGGCTATGATAAAAATGAGTCTCTCGAAGAGAAGTGAATGTATGCGAACACGTTTATCATGTTATATACATATCCATAGCAACACGATGAAAACTTGAGCAAAACCCCAAATGAAGTGTTCTGATAAATGATGCAGGTATTCCAAACGCACTTGAATATGTCACATTTTGTACTTTGCACATTTGTTTGCGTTTCATTATGACACCGGAAATCAGCTATTTTGCATTTGAAGTTTATTACATTGGGAAACCTATTAAATGGCCGCAATTAGAATTGCTGCAAGAGAATTCTTTGCCATAATTCGGCGCATAACAGAATCTTCGGCACGGCTTCATTATTGATTGCTTTGTGTCACAAGCAAAAAAAAAATGAACAAAAAACCAAATCATCATATGCGAACATTTTATTTGCTCGATTTTAAAATATGGGGTTCTTGTTGTTGAAAGGGGACAGTATCCAAATAAATGTGCGCTTGTTGATTGATAATCGTCTGAATATTTTGATAAATACGCATTTTATTTCGATCAAGTCCATTCATCCATCAAACACAATTTCTCTACAAGCACAATGGATTTTAAGATTGCATTTAAGCATTTTGTAGGAACACTTTTTCAATCCATCTCTTTCTCCCTATCTCTATCGCATCGTTTTACTTTCGATTCACATACATTCTCGGTTGCCGTTATTGAAGCAGCTTCTATGCGCCTGCTGTTTCCATTTAGCTTTATCAAATTTTCTCTTCCACTCGAGTCGGTGGGAAATTCCAGATTGAAAAAGCGCATACCCCGTCAATAAATAAACAAAAGACGCAAAAGCAAAACAAAACGCATACCCCAAAAAATATTAAGAAAAATCACCGAGCTCAATAGCACACACACACACACACACATCTTAAAATACAGCACAGATTGTTTTCGTTTGAATTAGTTGTTATTGTTGTTTTCCATCGAAACATCTGCTGACTACTTGAAATTTTCCAGAAAATTCATTCTTCTTGCCATCGCCAACAATTTTGTCTACCCGAATAATACCTTTTTCGCTCACAATTTCTGTTTCGCTAAACGTATTTTGTGGTAATGTGAAAAGCATGTACAAAGGAGTGCTAGGTATGTGCTTGGTATGTATCATTGTTCAAGTGATTTCGATTTTTCATCCATAGGGAAGCGAATTGTTTTTTCGTTTTTCTCATTGAATCTATACGCTGTTGAATGTTGAAACGGCATAAGTCGTCATAATATGAATTTTTAACAATTTCACAACAATATAATGCTTTTTGATTGAATAATACCGCATTGAGTGAAAATCCCCAAATACATTGCCAAAAAAATAACATATTGTCGACTTTGATTGACATATTACTTGAAAATTTATTTAACTGTATGATCCAAAAGTATATTCCGAATTTACAATCGTAAATTTTCTTGATTGCCGATATCTGTGATATCATTGTAATGCGAAAGAAAAACATCATCGTCTGCATTTGAAATGCATTTTCATTTTCTTGTTTATTTATTTAAAATGTTTATTTATCTCTTCCTTTTACTCTCCTCAAACTTGGTGTCGCTTATTTTCGATCGGAAAACGTTAAAATGAAATTATGGAATGGCATCTTAAATGGAAACATCAACCATGACGACGATGAAACTTAAAAAAAATTGTGTCAGGTCAGCCATGAGTGGGCATTTTGTATTATTGTACTTAATTTACCAAAGTACATGAACGATGTACTGCATTTTTCCATACAAGATAATGGCATATATTCTTCAATTCCGCAAGTCATAAAACTGATAATGGCATTGGCTACTGGTGCAATCAGCGATTGGATTATCGCCGCCGACCACTTGACTATCACCAGTGGACGAAGGATATTCGTTGCAGTCGGTATGTACAAAAACGCGATTTTTCTATCAAAAAAAAAAATTGAAACAATGAATCATTTCTTTTTTACTATGTTATGCACACAGTTCGATTGTTGATGTTTCATTGTATTTTTCCTTTATCGTAGCGTCATTTTTTACGGGTATCTTCACAATAGCCGCTTCGTATGCAGAATGCGATAAAATGTATGTGGTTGCCTATTTTACTATCTCGATTGCATTCCAAGGTGTGCCAGGCGTTGCAATTAATTCACTAGACTTAAGTCCAAATTACGCTGGAATTTTAATGGGCATCAGTGGCACGGTTACATCGATAACGGGCATTTTAGTACCGTGGATGGTTGGTGTGTTTGCGCCAAATGTAAGTATTGCATATTACATTCATGCCAACGCATTTACGTTCGTTGTTGTGTCTCACTTTTGCTGCATGTGTGTGTGCAGCGATAGCCATACATGCATATACAACAGCATTTTGTTTAATACCTGTCGGAATGTGAATTTAATTAACTGTTTCTAATTTTCTAATTATGAAAAGCGCGCACACATTATCGTTACATTGCATAAAATGACCAACCGGAATGATGATTTTCGTTGCACTCATTTCGGGGGGCGATATAATCTCATTTCTCATTACATTAAACAGACCATTTCAAACACTCATTAAACAAAGTGATGTTGGCCAACAAAATTGAACAATACACATTTCAACTTCATTATAAATGCATCGTGTGCAACATTTGTTATATGTGTGTGCGCATTTTTAATTCTTTTTTTTTCTCTTTCTACTGTTGAATGAAGCCAAATGATAAAAATTATTATTTTGATTATTCGAATTTTTGTCTTTGTTTTTCAGTCATTGCTCAGCGAATGGAGATTTGTATTCTGGATCACATTCTGGTTGCAAATAGTTAAACTGTTTGTCTTTTCGATATTTGGTTCGGGTGAAAAGCAATCATGGGATTCATACGACACCGACAGAGAGGCCCGTTTCATTTTACCCGGTGATGAATCAGACGATTATCTTGATAACGAACATGACACCAACAGTAGTTTAAGTTCAAGCAATTGGGATTTGTTTTTTCAGTAAAAATTTTCAGTTTGTCAACATTTATTTGAATTTTTTTTCTTTACCAGAATGCAATAAAATGCATTTTTTTGTCTTTCCTCTCTTTTCCAAAAGAAAAAACTGCAAATACATTTTAATTCGAGCACTTGCAACAAAGGATCAATAAAAAGGATAAAAAAGCCATTGTAAATTGTAATTAGGAGTATAAAGCATTGCTGAAAAAGTGCCGATATCAATTTGAACATAACGAAATGTGTAAGTGTATGTATTTGTATTAATTAGGGGCAAAAGAAAAACTCGCTTGCAAGAAAATTGAACCAAAAACAATGCCCCAGGAATCCTATTTGTTCTCTCTCTTTCTTTATTCCTCTCAACAAAAGATTTGCGTGCATTCGTATAAAATGTAAGTCACTTGAAATTAAGGAGCTTTGCTTGCAAGTTAATTATTCAATCTCTTAATAAAATCGGTATAGTCGGTGCATCAATAGTCGCATTAGTCCTTAAAAATGGCTTCGTTCTCATTACTAACACCTTTTACAATATCTGCGTCTTGAATACAAAATCTATCTTAGTTTATTCTCTCTGTCTCTCTTCCTCTCTCTCTCTCTCTCTCTCTCTCTCTCTCTCTCTCTCTCTATGTGTGTGTGTAGTTTGTTTTTTATAGTTTCTATGTTGAGAACGATAAAAAGGGCAACGAAGCCACCCGATAAAAGATTACCAACCAGCAAATGTATTGAATAAAATGCAATTGAAAATTCGTAGTAAAAAAAGTACATATATCTAGTATACGTTGTACGCTCCAGATGGAATATAAAGGATGATTACACTCACTAACATCAACATATATACGAATCGATATAGTGCAAGCGTCGTCAAATAGCGTTGGAATGAGCGTTAGCGTGTGCATTGGCTTGTCGGCAAAACTTATGCGTCGAACAGCGTCGAATGAAGAGAGCTTTAAAGCAGCGCATACAATTACCCGAAATACATTACAGTTTGAGACCATAGTATTTACAAGTTAACAAAAAAAAAAAAAATGAAAACCGAAGCGAAAAGCGGACAAGAAAGCGCGCTCAAAATGAGAGCAAAATACACGATTCGTTCATACAACATACATTTTCCAATCGAATATTCGTAGTGTTTGCAAAGCAATGAATTGTCTGAACGAAAGCGAATAAAAGTTATGCGTTGTGCATAAAAAAGTCTTTAAAAAGAGATTTTCCATTAGTTTGAATTGCATTTTGTTTTTAAAGTCAAATGCACGCTTATAAACATATATAGACACACACACACTCAGAGACTGTAACGACAACAAAATTGTGTACGTGTTTACGCCTGAATGACTTAGCTGTGTCTGAGGAAACGACAAATAATTATTCATCGTAAATGGAATATCGTCTGGAAATGGCGAGACTGTTTCGTCTTTGCTTCGCACCCAAAACGGGCTGGTTTTGAACGGCTTTAACTCTTGTTTTATCGCAGATGTTTTTTCAAATAACAAATAATAATGAATAATGGAAAGTGGTTTTATATGCTGTTGCCGGCACATACAAAATAAGCGAAGGGAGCAAAATATAGTAGAAGAAATAATATATTTTGATTGAGCGTTGAAACTCACAATGTTAACAACCAAAAGCATTACTAATCCAAATCGGTCAAAGAACAGTAAGGACAAATGCCAATCGCTTGCCTGCTTTGCTCCCATCGATAATGTTTTCATTTTCTTTTTTTCATTTTCTTCATTTGTGTTTGTGCTATGCAGTACATTGAGTCCTTATTGTGTGTCCAAAGTCAAATGAGAAAGATGCGATTTTCCATTCAATTCCATTGACAGTTAACATTGTTCATGAACCATTGAATCAGCAAATAACACATTTTTATTATTCGATTATTATGATCATTGGTCAGTTTTATTTTGTCACCCATCACACTTGAATAAGATATTTTGATTATTATCTGTTGACTCAAGCCAGACAAAATCGTATATGTTTATGTAAAAAAAACACAACATCGATACGTTTGGATGTGAGTGAAATACATACATAAATATCAGTCAGTGCTCTTTAAATATTTGACAAACATAATATAATTATGAATTTTCGTCGATGTGATCAACAGTCAAGTGGGCACAGGACATGCGTTGACATGATATTACACCTGACATGTTTTGTGTTGATTGACACTTGCTGTGAGCTCTTCAAATTGAAATCACAAATATGGTGTGGTTTTTGTCACATCGAAAATCATGCCGAAAATTGCCACTACCATTCCATTCAATAAGTTGAATAAGTGCAAGTCAAAGCAACTTTGTTCGATATTCATCATTCACTATTTGACATTGGTGTATGTATTCATGTTAAACATAATACGTTTATAAACTGTAGTTGTAAAAGTAAGTGTATATAGGCATTAACAGTTGTTGGCATGTCACATCAAATTTTGTTCAAGAAATTTACTTTGACATATCGAAACACGTTTTAATGGTTGAATGGTAATTGTAATGAAACTTTCGCATACACAATAATGTTCATTATTTGTCTATTGCAAATGAATCTAATTTTCATGTGGCTTGCAATGAGCTCACGTTTTGTCAATTTCATTTTCACATACGTACATGCCTCAATTCAACCAGCGAAGCACAAAGAAGCATAAAAATTATATTGGCAGCCTGAATACAATACCGTTGAGTTCTTATTAACTGGAACATTTCCTACGCCTAGGGTGTGTGTGTGTACGCGCCCAGGCCGGAAATAGAACGAATGTAAACATTTCCAAAGAATTTGTGTGCTAGATCTTAAGCGATATTGTCAGTCGCTCTCTTACAAATTTATTTACATGAAGCTCTAAATAGAACTGAGCTGCGAAGCTCATGTAATTTTATCATTTATTGAGAGACTCCTGCTGCCACCGTTACCTTCACCGTCGTCCATTACTTGTTTTCTACACAAATTGCGACTTCACTTTTACACAGGGCGTTCGTTTACACAATACTCAATTTGATTTTTATTATGACGCGACACACAAAATGCCATTCCAGGGCTGTTGTTATGGATGTGTCTTTGTTTACCAACGGGCACTCACACACAATAGGATAGGAAAAAGAAACATCCACATTTTTGACACGAGACACACCAATGCATTGTGTTGACCAATCGAATCGTGTTTGTTAAATAAAACCGTTTAAGGGAATTGTAATGCCAAACGGACAAGTATCTCTTGAACGATTGGGAGCGGAAACAACACACAAACACATATACAACAAAACGGATCAAGAGAAAAACCAAAGGAACAAAAAAACAAGTACAAACAGATGATGGTCGGCTGAACATTTAATGAGTTTTAGAAAAGTGAATGGAGATAGTTGAAGAGGCGAACAAAAAAAAATTAGATAAAATTTCAGACCAGACTCCCCAAGGAAAATTGGTCTGGGCGAAGACGTAATCAACACTTTTTCTTAAATAAATAAATAAAAAAAAAAGTGATTGATCTTTTTTTAGTTGTCGCATCAAATCGAATTACAAACTGTCACAACAATAACAATAGAAAGAAAGAAAAAAACAAAATTGATCATCGAATCAGTCTGGACGTTGCATATCGAGGGAAATAAAACAAAACACCCTGTAAAAACCGATGATATGAAAAACAAAAATTATTTTCCCCCCCGGCGAAATTAATTTAAGTAAATGGAAGACCAGGCCAATGTTAACGTGTGAAAATGGCCATATGTGAGAATGTGTATCATTGCACACGGAAAAAAATAAATAAAACTATACCATGAAAAATAGACAAGAAATAAAAGACGTCAGTTATCGGCAGGAATCAAATTTCATTGTATTGTATTAATTTATAGCAATCAATAGATAGAGACACGCGCTCACCTATCTGACTACACACTAATTCCTCACATGTTCCAACCTATCGGCTTGTCGTTAACAAACCAGAAAATCATAATTCACTTCACATCAATGCACTATGAAACTATTTCACTCATACTTTTATTTCATGATAATGATTTCCAATTTGAATGTGTGATGCGACGCAAAACCCTCACCAACTTCTTATTATGGCCAATGTGCAAAAATAAATGCCAAGTATTCATCGATCAATAATGTTGGCGGCAAGAAATCGCATAAGTTCTTCGATTTGAAGTGTCATGACTGTATTTGACTTAAGAGTCTCTCTGTCGCACAGACAGACACTTGAAGGGATGGCGGATGGCTAAGCCTTCATTTAATTGAAATACATACACACTTCATCTCTATCTCGTCATGAAACTTTTGACACTTAAAGTATAATTATACCACCTTTAATACGCGTCAATATATATTGGAATCGAAAGTGATTTGTGCGTCGCAATCGAAGAGAGTTTTTTTTTTGTTTATTTAGGACGCCCTTTAGCTGAAGATAAATAAAGTATACAGTAGTGCATTTATACACTTGTAAGTGTAGCGGTCTAGACTAGAAATAGTTGGAGCAAAAAATGTGCCTCGTCAATATCTTTAGCGTAAGACTCGATCTTGGGAGAAAAGTGGAAGAGCAGAAAAAAAGGTCATTCGTTGGTAAAATGGTCTGAAATTAGATTAGATGGACTTAATCCTATCAAGAGCACGTAACTATGAATAAAATACAAATGGTGAATCCAATATTTCATGGATCGAATGAAATGTGTAAATGATGGCATTTTGATAGTTGGATATCAGCATGAGGCCGAGATACAACGAATTACAGCTCTGTTTCCTACAATTATTCATGAATAATGTGTCACGGTAGGCGGTGTGATAAGAAATGCAAGATAGAGCTGAACAGCACACATACACTTACATCTCCTTGATTTAGATTCAAACGCATTAAATGGGTCAAAGTTTATCGCATTTCACGATTAAAATATGCGTTATGGATCGCACTGACCACTGAACGATATCTTTCATTTCACAACTAAGGAATTTTCACCAAAAAATTGCTTTGAAGATAAATTCAAAACACATACACAACTGAAGTTTATAGCACACGCTGTGAGGTTATCTTATTTTATGTTTTCTCGTACAGTCAGCCATTCGTCCTTTCTACTATACTTGTGTACTATTTAACGTTTTTTGAATGGATTTTTCGAAACCATCTCGTTTACACAGCGATTCTGTCGAATATTGTTCAAATGCCATAAATCCAAAAACTGAAAAAGATTTGGTAATACCAAATCGAGATAGAATTTCATTCATCATTTTATGTGCTTCAGCTTGATGAAACAATAAAAACACCCATAAGCCACAACGGCTAGTAAAAGTTCGAAATAAATTCGAAAATATAAACATATTTGCAAAAATGTGAGCATCAAGCAAAATAATAACGCATTAAATTTCACAACGTATAATGTTTTCTGTGGTTGTACGTAACGAATAGTTGATATTGAGGTAATGAAATATTAATTGATCAAAATGTTATCATACATGTAACCAAATCAAAGTAGATTGAAATTCAAAAGCGAAAATAAAAAAAGAATTGAACTTTGGGCATCGAATTGCACAAAACTCCGATAAAACGTGGTATAGGTAGTGTTGCTGTACGAATTTGCGACCATATGTGGTTCGGTGTTAAATGCTATATACCCAATATGTGTATATGTTACTCGTCGAATTTTTCGATGTGTAACTTATCAATGCAATACGTGCGGTTGGATTTTGGCAATGGGCTTTGAAATATGGCTGGTAAAATGTGTTGATGAATGTGATGAAATGCGAGAGAGCATTCTCAACTCTCATACCTCCCGTATGTGATATCGAAAGCACACACAGCTTGATGCATTATCACCCATACACATAAGATTGTTCATTAAATATATGCGTTGTGATGAGCCAACTGAAAAATATTTGAAGTGAGGACGAAGCGCATTGAGTGAGTTCAGCACATAATTTGAAGCGATATGTGATGTTGTGGATGGAATTGGTTTCGATTGGGGGGCCTGGAATGGAAAGTGCGAAAGCACGAATATCAGCTCATTATTACCAGATCGAGTCACATAAATCGATTCGATGGCTGGAATAGATTATTATGAAAGTGTGAACATATGCAATCACGAAATCACCATGTGCCAAATAAGTTAAGTAAACTCAACGCATACAAATGCTTTTCGTCTTTCCGAAAATAATCTAGTGTTTTCATAGAGTCACCATGTGCACGCGTTCGCATTCATCGTCTTCATTTTTTCTTCTTTGGCTGCTCTCCTCAAACAGTGTGCGTGCTTTCATTTTATTTTTGGTGTCATTTTTGATATAGTCCGTATTTGCTTAACGAAGTGAACGTGTGTTGACGACAACAACGCCAATGCTATCCATATTTTCATCTTAAATGCACTGTGACTGGATATATGACTGGTACTTTTTAGTGACTGCGATAACACCAAATTCAAACGATATAGAAAAGCTTATAGCAGTCAAATACATACACTGATACTCTTCAACGTTGAAACACAACTAGTTTCAAAGGAATACAAAACAACGATGTACGCAACTTTAAATCATTTTTTTTTTACCCACAAAATAGCTGATCGAGACATTCAAACAAAAAGATAACGGCATCTTGGGGTTTTTACCACATTTACAAATAATTTGTATTCACACATTCGAGTTCACAAACTAATTACTTTAATGTTCGAACCCTGACGAAAATCGCATTATTGATATGTGCATGCGTGGAAAATCGTACAACGGTCAGAATTGTAATTGTTCATGGCTATATATGATGCTATGCGCATTTTTATGGCTGCACATATGCCATTTATTCACACAACTATCGCTTTGGATGCTAAAATTATACCAACCTACTCTTTCTCTATCTCGTGCCTTTTACACTCCCGTCAGACTGTCTTTAAATATAAATGTTCGGCACCACAATTAATCGATGTGAATAATAGTTTTCGGAATTTGCGACGCCAATTAAGACATACTCATTACATACATGGCATATGCATAAAATACAGTATACTTTTTACGTCACACATGAATCGGTAAAATGGAAAACAACACTCGAAATGCATACATGAGAGGAAAGAAAACAGTCTAAATGTGGTCCGAATAACACAAATAATAGTATAACTAACTTGAAAGATGAATATTTTTGAAATTATGCTTTTCTTGTTAATCAGTGAGTTTCAAAAGTTTTTACTTCAACATTTGGTTTCTTTTCTCAAAAAATCAAGTAATAATCACATCGTGCTCAAATTCGGCATTGAAGTGAAGAAAAGAAAGCAAAAGATTCAACAGTGGATTCGTTTCACTTTAAAAAAAAGTTACTTTTTGATCTCAATCTGTTTGATGCTATGAACTAAATAACATTTCGTGAAAAATATTCTTTGAATCAATCGATTAACTTGAGTATTCTTCATGAACGAGAATATGTTTTGAATTCGTTCGACTTCACTTTGACCTCCAACCCTTTTTATTGGAGAAAATATATCGAAGTTGACTATTTTTTTACAACAATTCCGCTTATTAAATATTACTTACCGTATTTAGTTAACCAGTCATGTTTTTGCACAAGGAAATCTATAAAAAAATGCGATAAAATTAAAAACTTTAAATTTAGTTTAATCTATAATATTTGACAATACTAAAATTAAAATATTTATTTTAAAAACATAATTATATCTACTATCGCCGCCCACCAAATAAAATAAGATGTTCATGTGCATTCCGAACATTCAATTAGAAATTCTTTCGCTTAATCAATTTTCATTTGATAATTTTTTTCATTATTCAAATTGTTTGTATAAGACAGTGAATGAACTGGAAGTGGTCGATTGCATCGATGATAAATGATGCATTTCTCTATATTCATTGAATCGCTTGTGGCTATTGACTTTTCCAAGCAACAAGATTCCATTTGATTACATTTGATTAGATATCACATATAGATAAGATATATGAATGTCCAACAAATATATTCAACTTAAGTAACCCATTGATACTTTATATTCATTAGTCTGCAACGATGCTCGCCATTCAGTCTGTGTGACACGGTCTATTGCATTTATTCCAGATCCATAAACTATTTGCTGCAAATATTTGTTCATAAAATTCCAGAATCAATGGATTTGTGCGCGTATCGATAAATATGTGCGTTTTTTTGATTCAGCGAAATTCGATTGAGAACGGAAAAAAATGGATCAAATAGAAAAAAAAAACACACCATTTCGATAAAGTTGAACGGGACACGTCTGGGAATTGTTTTGTGTAAGAGACACATGACAAACGCTGGAAAAACTTTTCGACGTATTTTTTATGCGTCCAGCTGAAATGGCATTGTTGTCATTCATAGTGTTCTTACTTCTGTTTTTTTTTTCTTAATAATTCGCATAAAATTTGCTCAAAAAAAGAGCACACAAAAACAAGGACCGGTGGTCGTGCTACATCAAAATTGGCAAGAGTTGAATATGTTGGCGTTTCGCGTGCAAAGTGAATGACAGCATTTTATGCATTGCATAAATAATTTATGCGTGTCGTGCCGATTAGACTGAATAGATTATGTTTTTGAACTGCCATTTCGGTTTAATGGTGAAAATATTATTGATGAAAAAAAAAACGGCACACGGCCACACACAAAAGAAGCTTTTATGAAATATACCACACAAATTGTGTACTTAAAATTCTTTATTCGTCGTCATCATTTTGACCGAAAGTTCTTTCGATTGCATATCTCTTTTTTTTGTTGTTCAGTTCGCCTAAGCAATATCTTATAAAGTTCATTCTATTTATATAAAAATGGGAACGTCTTTGTCATACCGCAAATAAAATGGTTTATGATGGTGAATGTGTACATTTTTTTATACGTTATTTAATCCAATCTAATTTGTCACGTGATTTAGCTAAAAAAAATCGATTGTATCGCGCATTTTAAAAATGATGCGTTCATGTTTATTGATAGCCTTGAATAAAATAAATATATGGGAGTTTGAAAATAAAACTCAACACAATTTTACTCTCATTTGTTACGAAAACGACTGAAATATGAAACGACTAAACGGAAACATCTCTCTGCCCGAATTTCCGAACAGTAATGGCAGACAAAAAAGTCACCACGACAAGAATGAAATTGCATGAACAAAGGCAAAATAACATATACGCAGAGAAAAAAAATGCAAAGAAGGGGTCAATTTGTTTACGAAAATTGTGGGCAAAAGAGTTGCACGAAAAGAAGACAACAAACAAAAAAAAAACTCTTCGGTTTGCTCCATTGTACGAGAAATCGACTGCATCGGAAATTTATGTTTTTGTGTGAATGGCTGTAAAGCTTCAACGAATGCTGTTGTAGACGCCATGACGCTAAATGAAAAAGTTTTTCGTCCACATTCCCAATGCGCGTTTGTGGTTCGCTTTTACAACTTTTCGTTATTTTTTTTAACGCCTGCTTTATTTTCCCTATCTGACTTTCTCTCGCTTACGTGTAATTTTTTTCTCTCTTCTCAAAGATGTGACGCGAAAAAAAAACTCGAGAAAAAAACCATGAGATTTGTATTTGTACGATGAAGAAAAAATTACTTGCAAATATAATATCACGGAATCTGGCTTTGGTTGAGGCTACGCTTTTTGACTGAAACTTAAGTTCCCGGCTGAACTCAAAACATACTGTCATGAACTCTCTTCTTTTCATTCTCTTTCACATTACACAGTGTCATACACTCTATCTCTCTTCCTTTCATTCATTCTCTGTCTGCCTCTGTCTTTTTCTCTACGGCTAATACAATGGACTGACAGCATTACGGGCAGAAATTGGAATTGAATCGCTGAAACATGTTAACAAAGGTTCTGAAAATGAGCACAACAAAAATCGCATGGCAAGACCAATGAATAGATATGCGATGGGAAAGAAGAGAGACGACGACGACGACAACGACGACCTAAATGTTTGAAGAGAAAAAAGTGCAGAAAATAAAAAGAGAGAGAGAGAAAGCGAAGAGAGAAAAAGATAGAAAGACGTGACACGAAATTGAAACGAATACGCACAACAGATAAATTGATTGTTATTTATGGCAGGCAGTCCAATATAAAAGGCTGTGTTACGTTACGCAATTCCTAATAGATCCGAAAAATTTCTCGGTCTATAAAATTTCAATTACCATAAAATTATCGTTCGATCTGAAAATGTATATATAGCACATAAATTAAACAATGCCGTTTTACATAGACAGACAGAAAAAGATAGAGTATGGCCCAGCTTGATGAAACTTCTATCAAACTTTTTCCAAACTGCACATAAAACATACGCATACTCGATTCAAATGTTACGGACGATGATCCAAAACTCAAGCAATATGTGAACGAGAGACAATGAGAGCTGCTGATCAAAATGAAGCACAAAACTGTTTCGAGGCAAACAATGACGTTCAGTGGTTTTGATGCTTTTTTATTGGTTTCATTTTAATGCCAATTTTCCTCTAAAATGTTACTTATAACATGAATTTCAGTGTGCACAATTCGTATGTGTATTCATTCGTCGATCTCATCAACTCTTCTTGCTAAATTCATATTTCCCCTTTTCCTTTGTAATAACTTCCGATACTTTTGATGCTCACTTTGACGATTGAATTTAATGATGGGTTAAATTGTTTATTTTTCTGTAATATGCTTTAATGCCACCCAATGCGATTTGGTTATTTTGTTCAGAAAATCATTTGAATATGAGAAATGTTGGAATTTGAAATTTGTGTTGAAATTGCGTGCATGCGTGTGGCGGGAAAAGCCATATTTGTTTATAATTCCTTTGATGTTTTGATAGACTTTAAATTGCTCAATTTGAAAATTGACTAGGGATAAATATCAACAAATTTAATTTTTTACGAGATTTCACTATATTGAATAGATTTAGAAAAAAAAAGATTAATATCCAAGAATATGCTTCAATGTCGATATCCTTGGAAAATGATGTGCACGTTTTACTCTGTTATAGCACTCGAACCACCTGATTCTCAATCAATAAACATTTGCTTTTTGATCGTCAACATAAATTGAAACGAAGAGTGTAATATAAACAAACATCTCCATAACGCGGCATCCATACAACATTAAACGTGTAATTGTTTGTATAATTAGTGTTAATTTTGATACATTTGGTATATGATTGAATTACCTGAGGTGCATAGAACTTTTCAAATTCGATAATAAATTTCGTAATTACTCTATTTTTTCAAGGTTTCTCTTCTGGGAATCTGTTCTTATTTTAACGTATACATTACGAATCGCGAATGAAAATTAATCATTCAACCGACAAAGTCATACAATTTTAACTTTAGTCAAATGCTATGGTGACCATAAGTTCTCGGGAATCAAGTTTATTAACATCGCATCATCCTACATATCGATTGAATCGCATGACTGCATGTGGGTGTTTCAACATCGAATAATTGTAATATTTGATTGGTACTGATGAATTGTCGGCACGTGTTAATAAACTCTCTTCCTCGTCAACAACAACAAAAAGTTCGTTCGGGAGTCGCTTGTAGACGGAATCAAGATCGATTTTGAGCCGATGATATCGCATATTCGGTTATCAAAATAAAATTCAAAAACGAACCCGCTTGCTCACTTACTCATTAAATTAAATTAAGTAAATTCAGATCTGGCTCAAGGAATGTTTCAGCCATACGCAAAGCAGACAACAGACCGAAAATATCTTATTCACGGCATTTATGTCGGAGGATAAATAAGTCATAGTCAAATTATGACTTTATCAAATTATATTCTCAAGTTGTGTTTCGCTATAAAATCAATTCAATGTCGATGAAGTTTGCAGTTGATGAACGGCATTCGAAATCGACATAATAACAAAATTTACATTGGTATACTTTTAATCAAATTCCGGCGCTTCCATCGAAATCTTCGCCTTTTAGCAGAGAGGTGAAAAATGTTAAAAGTACTCTTGAAAGTCGTTGAACTTTTTTTGTTCTTCTTCCAACCTCTCGCATTTTAATGACAGAAGAAAAAAATCGACACGAGCCACCAACATCGCACAAAAATGAAGTTCAAGTGTCTGTCGGTTTCCCGTTTCCCGCTATAAAATTAAATCGGTCCACTTACAATGTAAATTAATCTAATGCCCGGTTTCACCGTCAACATTTGCCATGGCAACAGGGTGAGCCTTTGAAAAAGCACACTTCAATTTTGGTGTTCAGCTTTCGTTGTGAATGCATTATCTGTGAACACAAAACTCCAGGCAAGCAGAAGTAATCGACGAGAATCACTCCCGAAAAATTAACAGTAAATAAAAGCAAACAAAAAAAAAACAATAAATAACAAACTGCTGTTTTAATCTAAATTGACATTTTCAACGCTCTCTTAACCCATATCTTCAGAAGAAAAAAAAGAAGCAGAAAACATATCCACTTTAAAGTGAGAGTGCCGAACAGCTTTTCATGCGTTGTTGGCTAGAATACTATTTGCATTCAACTTAAAGGCCTACATAAAAAAATCATGAAATACAAATGACAAAAAATCCATTTGTAGATTAATAGTTGTTTGAATGATGATCACAGCACTTTTCTATATTTTGC